ATGTCCAACTGCTGCTTTAGTTCTGATCCCCTAAACTGGCAGTCAGACATCCCTCTCACATTCTGGGACTGCTGGCTCCCAACTGCTTGCCTGCCTACCTCCCCGCCTGCCTGATTGCCCCTAACTGCTCCTGCCTATCAGCCTGATCACCCCCTAATCATTTCTCTGCCAGCCTGATCGACACCTAACTGCTCCCCTGCCGGCCCAATGAACTCCAACTGCCCTCTCCTATAGGCCTGGTCACCCCCAACTGCCCTTTCTCCCCTGCAGACCCAGTCACCCCCAACTACCCTCCCCTGCTGGCCTGGTCTCCCCCAACTTCCTTCCCCTGCTGGCCTGGTTGGCCCTAACTGCCCTCCCCTGCTGGACTGATCACTCACAACTGCCCTTCCCTGCCAGCCATCTTGTGGTGGCCATTTGTGACCACATGTGACAGCCCTCTTGTGTGAGGATGTGATGGTCAATTTGCATATTACCTCTTTATTATATAGGATTATTGTACTTCAAGTAGCATTCGATTTCTTTTTTCTTTTTTTATTTCTTTATTGATTAAGGTGTTAAATGTCTCCTTATTCCCCCATTACCACCACTCCCATCCTCCCTACTCATGCCCTCACACCCCTGTTGTCTGTGTCCATTGGTTAGACTTCTATGCATGCATACAAGTCCTTTGGTTGATCTCTCCTCCTTACCCCTACCCTCCCCTACCTTCCTTCTGAGGTTTGATAGTCTGATCAATGTTTCTTTGTCTATAGATATGTTTTTGTTCATCAGTTTGTGTTGTTCATTATATTCCATAAAAGAATGAGATCATGTGATATTTATCTTTCTCTGACTTATTTCACTTAATAATGCTCTCCAGTTCCATCCATGCTGTTGCAAATGGTAAGAACTCCTTCTTTTTTTACTGCAGCGTAGTATTCCATTATGTAGATGAACCAGTTTTTTAACTCACTTGTCTGCTGATGGGTATTTAGGCTGTTTACAAATCTTAGCTATGGGTGCATATATCCTTTCTAATTTGTTTCTAGTTTCTTTTGGATATATTCCTAGAAGTGGGATCACTAGGTCAAATGGGAGTTCCATTTTTAGGTGTTTTTTTTTGTTTGTTTTTTTTTTGAGGAAACTCCATACTGTTCTCCATAATGGCTGCACCAGTCTGCATTCCCACCAGCAGTAACACAAGGATTCCTTTTTCTCCGCATCCTTGCCAGCACTGGTCGTTTGTTGATTTGTTAATGATAGCCATTCTGACAGGCATGAGATGGTACTGCATTGTTGTTTTGATTTGCATCTCTTGGATGATTAGTGACTTTGAGTGTTTTCATATGCCTCTTGGCCTTCCTTCTGTCTTCTTTCAAAAAGTATCTATTTAGGTCCATTGCTCATTTTTTTACTGGGTTGCTTATCTTCCTTTTGGTAACTTGTATGAGTTCCCTGTAAATGTTGAAGATTAAACCCTTATTAGTGATAACATTGGCAAATATGTTCTCCCATGAAGTGGGCTTTCTTATTGTTTTGCTGTGCAAAAGCTTTTTATTTTGATATAGTCCCATTTGTTTATTTTCTCTTTAGTTTTCATTGCCCTAGGAGCAGTATCAGTGAAAAAATTGTTTCAGCATATGTCTGAGATTTTGCTGCCTGTGGATTCTAGTATTTTTGTGGTTTCCAGTCTTACATTTAAGTCCTTTACCCATTTTGAGTTTGTTTTTGTGTATGGTGTAAGTTGGTAGATCTAGTTTCATTTTTTTGCATGTGTCTGACCAAATTTTTCAGCACCATTTATTGACGAGACTGTCGTTACTCTATTGTATACCCTTGACTCCTTTTTCAAATATTAATTGAGTTGGCTTGGATCAATTTCTGGGTTCTCTATTCTGTTTCCATTGGTCTATATGTCTGTTCTTGTGCCAATACCAGGCAGTTTTGAGAACAGTGGCTTGGTAATATAGCTTGATATCTGGTATTGTGATCCCTCCAACTTTGTTCTTCTTTCTCAGGATTGCTGTGGCTATTGGAGGTCTTTTTTTTTTATTCCAGATGAATTTTGGAGAGTTTGTTCTAGACCTTTTAACTATGCCATTAGTATTTTAATGGATATTAATTGAATCTTTAGATTGCTTTGGGTAGTATGGACATTTTAATGATGTTGATTCTACCAATCCATGAACATGATATGTTCTTCCATTTGTTTATGTCTTCCTCTATCTCTTTTTTCAATGTCATATAATTTTCCAAGTACAGGTCTTGGAAAACATATCTTTAAAGAACTAAAGAAAAGTATACTAATAATGTCTCTCTGACCAAATACAGAATATCAAAAAAGAAATAGAAATCATACAACCTAACCAAACAGAAATACTGGAGTAAAAAGTGTAACTGTAATAAAACACTTACTAGAGGATCTCAAGTGCAGATTTAAGTAGAAGAAAAAATCAGCAATCTTGACAATAGGTTAATTGATGTTATCTAATCTAAAAAAGAGATATAAAAATAATGAAAAATAAACAGAGCCTTTGGGACTTGTGGGACATCAACAAGCATACCAAAATATGCCTAATACAAGTCATAGGAGAGCAAAGGAAGGAGCAGAAATAATATTAGGGGGGAAAAGGTCAAAAATCTCACCAAATTTGATTTTAATACCCAACCTACACATACAAGAAACTCAGAGAATATCAAGTAGCATGTCTAAAGACAAAAATAAAGAGAAATATTTAAAAATGACTTTAAAACAACTCAAATCATATAAGGTACTGTCATAAGATCAAAAGCTGATTTGTCATCAGAAAGTATGGAGGCCAGAAAGTATTAGGATGACATATAAAAAGGGCTGAGAGGGGAAAAATAGTATGTCAATTATGATTTCTATGACAAAACTATGCCTCAAAAATTATGAAATAAGCACTCTAATAAAAAGAGACAGGTAGAATGGATAAAAAAATTATCTAAATATTTACCGTTTGCCAGGGATATACTTTAGGTTCAAAGATGCAAATGAAAGTAAAAGGATGAGGGGAAATGTTCCATATAAATAGTAATCAAAACAAGCATGACATGGCTCTAATATTATCAGACAAAATAAACTTTTAAACAAAAAATTATTACTAGAGACAAGAAGGTCATATAATGATAAAAGAGTTGACTTATCAGGAAAACATAATTATAAATGTTTATGCAATTAACCAAAGAGCCCCAAAATGCATTGAGCTAAAAATGACAAAATATGGGGGAGAAATAGAAAATTCAGTAATAATAGTTGGAGACTTCCATACTCCATTTTTATTAATGGATAGAACAATCAGGAAATCAACAAGAAAATATAATACTTGAATACCATGAACCAAATATATTTGATACATCTATTGAACACCTTACCTAAAAACAGCAGAAAACACATTCTTCTTAAGTGCACATGAAACATTCTCCAAGATAGACCACATGAATCCATAAAACAAGCTAGAATACATTTAACATAGCTGAAACAATGCAAAGTATATTGTGCATAATAATACACACAATGTATTTCTGTCCACTAAATGGGAGAAAATGTTTGCAAACCTTATATCTGATAAGTGGCTAGTGTCCAGAATATATGAAAAATCACTTCGAACTCAACAAAAAGACATAACCCAATTTAAAAATAAACATTTCTCTCCCTGACTGGTTTTTCTCAGTGGTTAGAGCAGCAGCTCATGGACTGAAGGGTGGTGAAGGGCATGTACCTTGGTTGCAGACTCGATCCCCAGCACCAGTCAGGGCGTGTGCAGAGATATCAATCTGTCTCTCTGACATTGATGTTTCTCCCTCTCCCTTCTATTCTCTCTAAAAAAGAGAAAAGAAAGTCAAAGGATCAGGTGTCAGTACTTTCTAGGCAGGAACCATATCCATTCCAGAATGGAATCTTTGAAATATGTGGTTGCCATGACAAGGGATAACATCTCAAAGGATTCCTTGGTTGACTGAGCATTTTATCTTTGGCTAAGAGATAAAGTTTCACCTCACTACGCTGCTTCGGCAACAATTACAGAAAAATTACACACATGTAAGTGACTTTTCCCCTATTAATTCTTCAGTCAAACAGCCATCTTCTTTCTAGCCTTGGCTACTTAGTTTTTGTTCTGTTTCAAGAAAGAAGTGTGGATATATTAGGATTACTTCACCATGGGCCCTCCTCTAAAATTCTTACAAGATTTTCTGTTTGGTAGAGTTTATCTTTGCTAATTAATCTCCTAACTTCATGTCTATTTTCTCTTCTACCGCCTGACTGCATCCCTCCTATCTCGCAGACATCTTGAGCACCTATGTTAAGTAAGTTACCCATTAGTTGACACCCACCAACGTTTGGTCTTCCCCCAAGTTCTCCAGCTCTGAAATTGAACTCTGTCCAGAAAACATTTCATTTTACTCAACAAAATAGAAATCCATCAGGTGGTTAAATGCTCATGAGACTAAATATCATAGTTTAAATATCAATTTAAAAATGTCAGTCACAATTTATTAAAGTAAAATCATAAACATGTAAAAACATAGAATAAGAAAAATTGTATCATGGGGAAACTCTAGATCTGTCCTATAATTTCTTCATATATGTATTTAATCCTGTGAGATTTTTTTAACTGAATTCTGCCAACAACCTAAATGACCTTGGGAGAGGATCTTGAGTGTCAAATGAGAGAGCAATCCATGACAACCACTTGACTCCAGCCATATGAATAAATACTTCAGCCTATTTATTTAAAATTCTAAATAGAGCCTGACTCTCTAACCTACAGACACTGTCAAATGATTAATGGGTAGTTTAAAAAAAACACATTAAGTTTATGGTAATTTGTTACACAGCAATAGAAAATTAATACAAGCTAAAATTAATACCACATAACATAATAGCATCAAATTGATAAAGTACAACAGAACTATAGGAAAGTTACCGGTTTATGTTCTAACACAAAATACTCTTTTGCAGCATTAGTAGTAAAGACTAATTCACCTCTGTCATCATGCTTTCAAAGATTCATAAATTAAGTAGGAGTTCAAGACGGAGTAAAGAAAAAGGTAAGTGTATGTGTATGTGTGTGAGAAACCCATATATCAATCTCTATTCATGAAACAAAGAATATATGTTTTTCTAATGCTCACAAAAATATATATTCATAAAGGATAACTACACATATATGTTAGGCTAGAATTTCTGTATAAATCCCAAAACGTAGAAGTATTTCCTGATCACAATGCAAAAAAAAAAAAAAGGAAAGAAAATAAGGAACTTATGAAACAAACATATAAACAACCTACTATTTGCCATCAAAACTAATTTATTTTAAATAATTCTAGGAACAAAGAGAAAATTAATACAGAAATTATAGAATGTTGACAATACGTAATATTAGAAACTATAGCATACAGCCAAAATTGGATAAAAGAGAAAAATGCATAACCTTAAGTACTCAGAATAATAAACCAGAAAGAAAGACAATGAATAAGTCAAATATCCAAAACAAGAAGTGAGAAAAAAAACAACAAAATAAATCCAAGAAAGGCAAAAGGAAAGAACGCCCACCTACATTAAGGATGTAGCTGTATTCTTGAATTTGAGATGAGAAAAATAGTAGGACTATAGAATAAAATCAACCCAGCCAGCATAGCTCAGTGGTTGAAAACCAACCTATGAACCAGCAGGTCATGGTTCAGTTCTCAGGCAGGGCACATGCCTGCATTGTTGGCCCAATCCCCTGAAAGGGTACGCAGGAGGCAGCTGATCAATGATTCTTTTTCATCATTGTTTCTATTTCTCTCTCCCCGTCCCTTCCTCTCTGTAATCAATAAAAACATATTTTTAAAAAGAACTGCAATTAACAAAATGGATTTAAAGCTTGACTAGAATTTTTGTCTCAATAAAAATTATCATGTGAATCCTCTCTCTTTTTTAAGCAATTAATGTTGAAAATTGTATAATAGGTTTTCTTTTATTGAGCTATCCTTGTATGTTGGAATAAATACCACTTGGTTATAGTTCAGTATTTTTTTATGTGTTTCCGTATCCTGTTTGATAATCTTTCTGTTAAGTGCTGTGCGTAATAGTCATGATGAATTTGTCTGAAGTTTTAGTGTATGTGTGGGTATGTGTTGGACTTGGCTATCAAGTTCATACTATTGTAGCTTCAGAGTTTGGGATATGACCCACTCAGTGATAGAAATTAAATGTACTTCCTTTTAACTGGTCTCCTTCTCTTCCCTGACTAGTAAATAATCTCCAGAATACGCAGTCCATTGTAAAATGGCAACACCTGGTAAGTTATAATCTATAAGGGTATTAATGGAACTAAAATCTCTTGGGGGAGAAGGGAATTACTTGTTCATTCTCTCCATCATAAGGCTGTCATAAATTAATGTTTAAAATAGTGTCTGTGGGTGAAAGTGGGAAAATGGCAGTTTGGTTCAATACTGTCTTTTGCTTTTTCTCCCTACAAAATAATGTTCTTTCTCGCCCTTGATGTCCTTGGAAGTGACCTTCAACACTAACTCAAAAGGATAAAAGTTTGACCCATCCCACTGTTGGCCCACTCACCCCTTTCCTGACATATCTGCTGCAATATCTCATATCCTTCCATCATTACAGTGAAAATCCTTCCTACCAAACTGTGTCCAAAGCCATGACCAACAGGAAGAGGACAAGAAGGCATGCTGTGGGCAGACAATATATATATTCTCCCCCAGTTCACATCCACAACCCCAGAAAAATAAAGATGAGTAGAACTGTGAGAGATAAAACCCTTTCCCACTCCGATAATAGCAAAAATAGCATAGCATTTATATAGCATGTTAAGCATGCTCTAAATGCTTTAAATAAATAACTCATTTAGTCCTCACAATAAACAGCCCTACAAGATAAGGACTACCATTATCCCAACTGGACAAATAAGAAACCTGAGAGAGTTTCCTGTGGTCACATAACTACCAAGTATCAGAGAAAGAATACAGATTCATGGAGTCTGGTTCCAGAGTCACTAGTATAAACACCAAGCTAACCTATGTCAATCTTGAAACCAAGAATCTCACCTGCACTGGGAGTAGAGGAAGAACTGTACATAAATGATGAGGTTGAAGATTTTAAATAAACAGGATTTGGTATTAATAATAATGGTGAAGTTATTTTAATAATTCAAAGAGATGGGAAATTCATAGAATCACAAGTCAGTAAGACAGACAGTTACTTAGAAGGGATTCTAGGGTAGGAGGTTGACAAAGCATAGGGGCAACTGTTACAGAAAAAATAGAACCATTTTCTAGTCTTCTCAACCAAAAGAAAGTTATTAACATTCTTATCTATCTATATATATAAAATCCTAAGCAGCCGTTATGACCAAATGACAGGAACAACTGGTGGACCAGTAGCTATGACTCACACTGACTACCAGAGGGAAGAAGCTCAATGCAGGAGCTGCCCCCTGGTGGTGAGTGCACTCCCACAGCCAACCTCCCGCAGCTGGCCAACCTTCTGTGGCAGCTAATCAATCTCTCCCTCCCCCTCAACTCCAGCTGGCCAACCCCGATTGACCCCAATTGGGACTGAGCAATCACTGGCCAGGCCAGGGGACCCTGCCCATGCATGAATTTGTGCACCAGGCCACTAATGTAAAACCAGCCACAATTGTACACTCTAGAATAGAAATGTGGTTCTGGAAGCTGGCAGAGGTGGGAGGACTTGGAGACTTTGTCCACTGTTTACACATCTGTACATGTGTGTACATTGCTTTTTAAAATGTTTATGTAAATAGGGTATAATGCTTTAAGAGTTTATTGAAAGAGACATTTCTACAGACAATCTACATTTTGTCACTGGGCCAAAATTTGCATTTGTATGTAAATTTGCAATATTAAGGATCAGTGAAAACCAGAAAAACCATAATACTGAAAGTGCATGGTGTAATGACACTGGTTCTGGGGACTTTTACAATAGTGGGGGGAAATCTAACTAGCTTTTGGAGTGAGGGTGAATTTATTCTCTGAGTGTAATCTTCAGCTCTCTCGGTATCTGGCCTTGGCAAGGGTGGTGGGAACATGACACCATCAGTAACAGCAACACTATGTTCAGTAAAACCCCAGAACAGACAGCAAGCCTAGTAGATAAGGGCTTGAGACATTCATGCCCTTTCCTCAGATATCCCATCTCTCCGCACTTCTTTTTTTTTTTTTCAATACTCAACAAAGGATATTTTTTCCCAATGAACTTTTAGAGAGTGGAAGGGAGGGAGAGAGACAGAAAGAGAAAGAAAAATCAATGTGAGAGAGACACATCAATTGATTGCCTCCAACATATGCCCCGACCTGGGATGGGGACTGAAACTTCAACCCAGGTATGAGCCCTCGACTGGAATCAAACCTACAACCCTTCTGTGCATGCACCAATGCTCTAACCACTGAGTACACCAGCCATTACTCTCTGCAAATTTTTGATATTTTGTTGTTGTCTAGATTCTAGTGTTCTAGAGATGAAAGAAAAAGGTGAAGATTCACATAATACTTTAGAGCAGGGGTGGGGAACATCTAGCCCATGGGTTGTATAAGGCCAACGAAATCTTTTGGGCTGGTCCCACGGCATTAGGGGTGAGCTAATTAAATATTTGACCAAATATAGCAAGATAAATTTTAAGTTGATAATTTTGTATGGCCCAAGAATGATGATATAAATATCCAAATGGCCCTTTGCAGAAAAACAGGTTCCCGCCCCTCCTCTAGAGCAGTGTTTTTCAACCTTTTTTGGGCAAAGGCACACTTGTTTCATGAAAAAAATCACGAGGCACACCACCATTAGAAAATGTTAAAAAAATTTAACTCTGTGCCTATATTGACTATATATAAAGTAATTCTCTTGAATAGGAATCAAATAAACACAAAGGAAGTATTTTATAATTACTTTATTATGAAATATTAAGTAAACAAAGTAGTGAAAAATTATAAAATTCTTGTCTTGTCTGCACCTACGGCACACCAGGCAACATCTCGCGGCACACTAGTGTGCCGCGGAACAGCGGTTGAAAAATGCTGCTCTAGAGGACCAAGTCTATGACTCTCTGCAAGTATTCCCAGAATTGTTTGGGAATTATTAGAGGGGGGTTCAAATTCCCTCAAAATAAAGACTATTATGATAATCCTATTTCCCCCAGACTAAGGTGGCATCAGAAACACACATTACATGCCTGTGCTTTAAAAAATCTGACATTTAAGGAACTAGTCAAGTGGCATGACTCCAATTTTTCTGGCCAAGATGACAACAGATATGGAACAAAAAATGTCAAAGATATAACATATATATGAAAAGCAGATGGTCATCTTAGAGAAGAAATCCAAAATAACACATTTAGAAGCTTAAGGCCCACCAGACTTGCCCTAGAACCTAGTGTTATGAAATATACTACAAAGTACAAGTTTCCAGGATTGTGTCTATTTTGTCGTTTACTGTGGGTTTCCAATGAAGACCCATAGTGATTAGGAAGTAATTGAAAATGAGTTAAAGGAGAACTTAGCCATAGAATAGAAGCTAAAGCCAGAATGATACTTCCCCAGCGAACGCACTGAAGAGTTTCTGGGAATACTGGTGAGCATGTTATATATTCCAACCAATAACAAGACACCTAAATGGGAAAAGCAGGTGAAATTTCTGGCTAATTCTTATAACTTCCTAAAATGACACCCCTGGTGAAGCCGTTTATATAAGCTTGAAAACCCTTGTTGCTTACCAGTGTGTGCATTGGCTTTTGCATTCTACAATATAAACATTAGTGATAATAAAGCACACGTGAAAGCATGCCAGCACGGAAGGGACACTCTGTAAGTCAGGGACTCAACAAAAGATGTGATGTCAAAGTAAAAGAGGCAGGACAATATTATTACTAACAATAGAGTTGTACTGACACATTTGGCGAAGGAGGAAGAGGAGCAGGAGAAGGAGGGAAGAGGAGGAGGAAGAGGAGGAGGAAGAGGAGGAGGAGAAGGAGGAAGAGGAGGAGGAGGAGGGGGAAGAGAAGGAGGAGGAGAAGGTCAGAGGGAGGAGGAGGAGGAAGGAGGGAAGAAGGGAAGAGAAGCAGCAGCTAGCTAACAGTTGTAAAGCAGAGGTCAATATTATTATAGGACAGCTGAATGACAACAGTTACAGTGCTGCGCAGAAAAGCACCTGGTAAAAAGCATTCCTCACAACACTGTGTTGGAAAATGCTAATTAAAGAAGCACAGTAGTTTGCTATAAAAAGCCAGCCATTAGTATCATGGGTTTAAATTGCAGTTTGCTTGTCTCAACATATCTATGAACTTTTGTGCTTATATTCCAGTCCAATGTGTCCCATTAGTCCAGTCCAATGTGGCCCTGCGTTTCACAGGCCTCTCTCTGATCATGGACTCTTCTCTTTTTCCCGATACAGGAGTACACAGCTTCCTCTCTATTGGATATATTCACAACCATCTTCAATCATCAAGCCCTAATCCTGTCCGTAAACTCCAGGTATAATAAACTGTAAATCTCTCTTATTTCACTGACTGACTACCTTTGCAATGCTAGAGAAGCCCAGCTGGCATGGCTCAGTGGTTGAGTCCATTAACCAAGAGGTCATCGTTCGATTTCCTGTCAAGGCACATGCCCAGGTTGTGGGCTTGATCCCCATTGGGGGGTGAGCAGGAGGCAGCCGAACGATGATTCTCTCATCATTGATGTTTATATCTCTTTCTCCCTCTCCCTTCCTCTCTGAAATAAATGAATATGTGTGTGTGTGTGTGTGTGTGTGTGTGTGTGTGTGTGTGTATAATATATATATATATATATATATATATATATATATATATATTATATATATTTAAATGTTATAGAGAAGGATCACAATGGTGAAAAATAAAACATTTTTCCAAATTCTTCCATCCTAACTCAGCAAGTCTTTCTTCCTCATATTATTCCCAATCTTTCTGTACTGCATGGATAGGCAGAAAATTTAATTATTACAAAATCATAAGCAGATTGCACACACAATGTTCTGTGATACTTTCAATTTTTGCATTTCTGTCTTAAGTTTTTATTCTTCTTTATAATCATATTTTCATTTTAATAGCAGTATATTATTGCCAGATTTTGAAATTTCCTAAATTATGTTTTACTAAAATTATGATAGTCATCTTTGTACTTACATGAAAGATTGTATTTCTCTGAAATACTTCTTTGAAATACCATTCTGTAAGTGAGGTTACTGATTTAGATGACAGGCAATCATGAAAATGCCCTCCTGCTAGGGAACCTCACTGGTCAACAGTCCCATAAAGTTAACAGTGTAGATCCACCAGGACTACTGCTGAGCCCTCGCTTCTGATGACCCAGCGAAGTAGGGCAAACAACCAGTGGGTGGCTTGGCTTGAGGAATCCCCATCAGTCTGGCCAAACCTTCCTTAACACTTGTGGTCCAAGACTCTTCCTACCCTAATCCTCCTGCCTTCCATTTTCTTTAGAAACTTTGTGCACCTCTCAATCTTGTTTTGGCCTCTATTTCCCCTGAACCCCAACTAATGTAGATGGGATGAACCTTCTTAGAGCTTTTAATAAAGACTGTCAATCTGTTCTCCAGAAGAACTTCACTAATTATAAGTGCTTCTTCAAAGCCTAATCACCTAAATTTATACACATACCTACTCTTTTCTATTTTGCTGATGTAATATGTTCACATTCTTGCCTCATTGTTGTTTTAATTTATATTATCAATACTTTCAATATAAGCAAGACTCAAATTTTCTGTTATGCATTTATGAATTTTCTCATGTTCTTTGCCAGTTTATTGTGATTTTAGTGGTGATATATCTTACCTAATAGACAAACATGTAAGTTGACTGTACCTCCATTATGCCCACAGCCAATCAGAGTGAGTATGCAAATGAGAAGGCCAAAGATGGCGGCCACCCAGCTGCTCTGGGCCAGAGTGGCCAGGTGGGGCAGAATGTCTGCTATGAGAGGGAGGGCAAGGGGTGAAGGGATCTACAGGAGCAGAGTGCTACAGCAAAGAGAAGACTGCAGACTCCGGAGTCCACAGCGAAGATGGCAGACTCCAGTGAGAGTCTGCAGTGACCACGAAGATGGCAGAGTCTGGCCAGAGTGAAGGCCGGGGTCCCAGGTGCCAGAGGAAAACTGGTGCTGGAAGCCAAGGGAAGGAAAGCCTATTGCACGAGTCTCCGTGCAACGGGCCTCTAGTATTAAATAGGTTTCTTATGCTGTTTTTATGAATTTTAAATTTGTTACTCTTTTATCTTGCTACAATTCATTTTATAGTCATTAGCTATATTTTTTCTTTTACTTTTTTGTGTCTGATAAAAAATTAATTCTACATTGCTTTTTAATATTATGTTCAATATCTCCTAGCTTTTTGTTACTTGATTTTTGTTAGTTTTATCTCTAAGTTAATTTTATTTATGAACTAATTTAACTTAGGCTTCACAATTCCATTATTCAGACCAGAAATGGACCAATTATGCCCCATGTGCTAAATCCTGTTGTTTTTGCAGCTTCATATTTTCGTACATTCTGAAAGATAAGAATATTTTTTTACATTTTAAACATTTTTTTACATTTTACATTTGAGATAAAAATCAAAAGAAGAATATTTCATGACCTGTAAATATTATATGAAAGTCAAATTTCGGGGTCCAGAAACAAAGTATTATTGGAAAACAGCCACACCCATTCCTTTATGTATTGTCTGTAGCTGCTCCTGTATCAGAGTTGGAACAGACAGAGGCTAGCAAAGCCTAATTTGTTATCTGAATCATCACAGAACAGTTTGCTAACCTCTGATACAGATAATACTTAAATGCTTCATTTCCAAAGGCATATTTAACCCTTTAAGTGTTTGGAGGGTGTTTTGCTTGTTGTCTGTCTAATGAAATAGTTGTGAGCTGTTTAAAGGGTTCTGAGCTGTTTAGTATCTTGATGGGAATAGTGAATATATGAGCCTCCAAATGTGATAAAATCATATAGCACTAAATACACACACACACACACACACACACACACACGAAAACATACACAAGAAAAATGGGAAACCTGAACAATATCAGTGGACTGAGTCAATGTCAATATTCTGGTATTAGACTATAGTTTTTGGAGAATGGTACCATTGGGGGAAACTGGGTGATATGTTCAAGAGGTCTTTCTCTATTATTTCGTACAACAGCATGTGAATCTACAAATACCTCAAGAGAATTTTCAAATAAAAAAAAAGGTGTGTGTGTGTGATAAGATTGCAATTTGACCCACCATGAAATACTGTCACAATAAATTATCGGGTCTAGTAATAATTAATGTCGTTTTTAAACATTTGTTTAAAATCTTGCTTGGCGTTGACTTGTATTGACATAACCTTCAAACACGTTGTATCTACAGAACGTGTGAAGTGCAATTAACAAGTTTTGCTTGAAAAAGTTTGTGTTTGGTTTGGTTTTTGTTGCAAAACTAGGGCTAAGAAGATGGAGGATGAAGAGCATATTCGGCACTGCATGCTTTACGAGTTCCAATTAGGAAGAAAAGCAAGTGAGGCTGCAAAAAACATCTGTAGTGCTCTTGGTCAAGATGCAGTTAGCGTCAGAAAATGCCAGCGTTGGTTTGAGAAATTTCTCTAGGGAAATTTTTCGTTAGATGACAAGAGTGGTCAAGGCCGTGTGTCCAATTTTGATCAAGAAGCTCTTCAAGCTCTTTTGGTGCAAAATCCTCAAATTACCCAACAAGAGCTTGCGACAACTTTAAATTGTTCACAAAAAACAATTTCCAATCAATTGTGTGCACTTGGCAAAGTCCAAAAGTTTGGAAAATGGGTTCCTCATGAGTTGACCGACAACAACCGTAATCAAAGAGTCACAATTTGCAGTTCGCTCCTCTCTCATCAAAACCGTTTGCCGTTTTTAGAGCAAATTGTTACCGGAGATGAAAAATGGGTGCTGTATGTTAATCTGAAAAGGCGGCCTCAATGGTTGGACAAAAATGAGGCTCCGCAGCCCACGCCAAAACCTGACTTGCATGCGAAAAAAGTGATGTTGTGTGTTTGGTGGAATTTTAAAGGAATTCTTCATTATGAACTTTTACCATCTAACCAAACCATTACAAGTGCAGTGTATAGTGCCCAATTGGAAAGGTTAGCCCAAGCTTTAAGAGAAAAAGAACCCGCGCTGATTAATCGGAAGGGCACGACCACGATAACGCACGACCGCATACTACAAGAATCACTGCTGAAAAACTGCGCCAGTTGGAATGGGAAGTTCTCCCTCAACCTGCATATTCTCCTGATATTTCCCCTTCCGATTACCATTTGTTTCGTTCTTTGCAAAACTTTCTTCTTGGAAAAAAATTTAATAATGAAGAATGCCTCAAAAATGCATTGACCTATTTTTTTGCATCAAAATCACAAGAATTTTACAACAGAGGGATTAAAATGCTTCCTGAGCGTTGGGCACAAGTAGTAGAAAACAACGGCAACTATATTGTTGATTAAATTTTGTTGTATTGCTTAAATAAATTCGATTTTAAAAAGTATTAGAAAACGACATTAATTATTACTAGACCTAATAGTACTACATTTGGCCTAGAAAGGGAGATATAATATTTATCCATGTGTTTGCTATTCCTACATCAGGGCATTTTTTTCCTTTTCTTGTTTTTATTAATTTTAGAGAGGAAGAGAGAGATAGAAACATCAAGGATGAGAGAAAATCATTGATCAGCTGCCTCCTGTACATCCCACACTGGGGATGGAGCCCACAACTCAGTCATGTGACCAGGAATCCAATCGTGACTTCTTGGCTCATAGATCAACACTCAACCACTGAGCCATACAAGCTGGGCCATCAGGGAATTTTCTATTCTATTCCACTATTCATACTCTCATTTGGTGCCACCACTACACTGTTTTGATTTAGTGCTATTTTGTAATAAATTCTATTATCTGACTGAGCTGGATCTTTTCCAGCAAAGTGGTCTATGATAGCCCTCCCAGTTTATTTTTCCAAATGAAATGTATTTTATAACTTCTGATGACAAGGTTCTAAAATTGTAATTGCCATTTCAGAATTCATAAAATAACTTGAGAATAATTGATATTTATAAGTAATCTTCCTATTTATAAATATATTTTTATTTATTCAAGTTTTATATCTCCCTTGAAAACTTGAAGGATTTTTAATATATATCTTCCACATTCCTAAATTAATTTATTGCATACATTGTATTTTGGGTTTTGTTTCATTTTATTGTTTGGAAAACAATTACTGATATACTGAGATGTAAGTGGGGTTTAAGGTGGGAGTATGTTTATTCTATATTTGATTGAGCTTATTTATTAACAAACTTGTTTTTGTTAGATGTCTTATTAGAAACTCTAACATAATATTTTGAAATAAAAAATTAAATCCTTGGGGGCAATGGTAAGATATGTACACAGATAATAATTTAATAATAATAATAATAATAATAATAATAATAAAGACATTAAGCCCTTATGCTGTTCCTGTTTTTAATAAAAAGGCACTACTTTTTGTTCTTGGTTTAAATAAAACTTTTCAAGAAATTATTTGTTTTTTTTCTTAGAAAATTATGTTGAGATTTATTAAATACTTTTTCAGGTTTGGTTAAAGTACTATTTTATTATTTAATCTATTAATAGATATGTATCAATTAATAGTTTTTAGAATATTGGGCTATTCTTAAATTTCAATGATAAATCATGATTGGTAGTGTTATATTACTTTTATTATTTTTACAAACCACGGTTCTAAAAGTTTAAACTTTATATTCCTTTGAAATTTTATTTTACTTATTTTAATCCCCACCCAAGGATATTTTTATTGATTTTAATACTCTTCAATTTGAATTAAACACTGTGTCATATTAACATGGCCCTCCTGATTTCTTTCTGATCACAATTAATAGAATGTCCTCATACTTTTATTAGGAGGTATCTACTTTCTTTTATTCAATTGTGATTCTAGAAATTATACTTGCAAATATTGATCTTACTGAAGACTTATTGCTTCATTAAAAAAATTCCCAATTTTTTCTAGAATATTTGGTTTATTAGTCACTTCAATCTTTGAAATAAGTGTTTAGCTTAAAACTTTAACAAAAGCAAACTCACACAGTAATTTAGTAAGAAATACTTATTCTTTCTTTTCAAGTGCCTTTCTATACCACCTGGTCATATATCCTGGAATATAAGAAAGCATTTACACTAAGATGTCACTTTTTGTAACACATATCAGTAATTGCTCTTTTGGAAACAAATTACATGCAGACCAAAAATACAAAACATACAATTGCTCATGTTTGCCCATAGATATGCATATGACTTTCTTCTTCAGTATGGCAGCCTTCCTTACATTTAACATCCATTATGGCATCAGAGTAATCACACTCTCATAATCTTCGTTCATAACCTGGACCATTTTAGAATTTTTTTAGGACTGGTGATATGATTTCAAAGTACACTGAAAGACACAATTTTCTAGTTCATCAAAATCTTAATTTTGCATTTTCTTAAACCAGATCATAAATCCCTAGACATTAAATACCTTCCACTGAAAATCCAACTGGAAACTTTTGATAGATAGCTGTTCAGAGTCTGGTAATACATCAGAGCCTATGAATGTCAAGTCAGTCTTCCAGGATTTGAAAATTACCTAATATATTCCAAGAGATTCCATTTCAAACAGTGAATCTCAGGTAGAGTATCTTGTCCAGTGGAGAAAAGAGATTCTGAGTCTAGCACAAGATTTCATACCTTACCATCTAATATCACCATCTTTTCAGAAAAAAAAATAATTATTTTCACCTAAAAAACAAATCATGAAGGACTATTATCCAGATCACATATACCAAAGGAATAACAACCATTTCACAACTTATTTTTATAGTTGCTGCTGGGTGGGTTTCTTTTGCCATCAATTAGAAGATGCATTCCAATATCAGAAATACTAAAATGTGAGAAACATAGGATCGTGGGTTAGTGAAAATGTGGCTGTAATATGTTGAAACTGCCTAAAATTCGGCATGGCTTTGAGGGCTTAGCTGAGAATATAACCACTTTACCTCATTATGTCTATGGAGAAAAATAGTCTGGTTTCCAAATAACTTGTTACATGTGATATTTGCAAAAGTTTTATGAGACTATGTAAAATCCACGTGTCATATAAAGTCAAAAGCTGGGTCTCATTTTCTAGTCCTCTCTTATCACTCAAAAAAGTCACTAAAGTTAGGTTATATTTGTTTTCTCAACTTAATAATTACACCGTTTTCTTGCCAGCTACGTGGATCCCTTACTGCAATTTGAAACTCAGTTGAAGATAATAGAGTCATCCTTTAAAATAGTATTTGCTATGCCAACTCTTAAAGAAGTGAAAGAAATTGGGAATACCGAAACTGAGGAGCAGGACCTGGAGGTGAGAGTTTGCTTCCTTTAATCAAGATGAGACACCTTCACACACACAGCAGTCCTGCACAGTGTCTCCACAGAGCATGACTTTTGTGGTTTTCTCTATCACTCTTTTCTTTTTTCCAATATATATATTTTTTTATTTCAGAGAGGAAGAGAGAGGGAGAGAGAGAGACAGAAAAAATCAATGACGAGAGAGAATCATGGGTCGCCTGCCTCCTGCATAACCCACCCTGGGGATCGAACCCTCAATATGGGTATGTGCCCTGATGGACTCGAATTGTGACCTCCTGCTTCACAGGTCAATGCTCAACCATTGAGCCATGCCAACCAAGCTCTCCTTCACTCTTTTAAAATACAATAGGTAGCCGAAACCGGTTTGGCTCAGTGGATAGATCGTCAGCCTGCAGACTGAAAGGTCCCAGGTTCGATTCCGGTCAAGGGCATGTACTCTGGTTGTGGGCATATACCCAGTAGGGGATGTGCAAGAGGCAGCTGATCGGTGTTTCTCTCTCATCAATGTTTCTAACTCTCTATCCCTCTCTCTTCCTCTCTGTAAAAAATCAATAAAATATAAAAATTAAAAAAAATAGATACATAGCGCTTCCCAGCACTAATCTATACCTCTGGCCTCTTGAAGTCTATAATCCAATGGGATTTAATGGGCAGTATGGGTTTATAGGAACAAATGGGTAAGTGGATTTTTGGTTAATTGTTGACCAAGGACAGGGAGTTTACTGGCAAGTTCTACAAAGAAGGAAATGTGAGCAGAGAAAGATGGAGGTGGTAGGAGTCCCATAGTAAGATCAGCAATATGTGTGGTCTCTGTTTCCTCAGCAAAGCTGCACAGTGCACTGGCTATGTGGGGTACAGAAGAAACACATGGCATATGACATTGGGTGAGCTCTCATCACCATAGTACCACTGTACTTTCTTATTTTCGGTTTATGGAAGAACTCAGGACATCAGGATGCAAAACAATGGGGTAAAATTTTATGTAAGTCTGGCTGGTTGTATAACTATTTTGTTTTTCAGGAATTATACCACACTATTTTAAACATATATGAGGACACTCTTCTGATCTTAGTGTCTAAAGACCTCTACAAACTGCAAATCTTAAAGGTAAAGGGAAAATGAGCAATTTTGATTTTGTGTCATATATCTAAGTACTCTCTAATTCACTTATTATTTTCCATTTGCCATACTTGGCATCTCCTTCAAATATCTGGCAGCTGAAAAAAAAATTTCCTCCAAGTAGCCCCCAAATAAAATCACTTCCATTTATTTGAATTACAGAGACGCCCTTTTAAGAATTTAATTTTGGGAGGATGGCATGAACTGACACTTGAGAAGCCAGTGCTATGTGGTAATGTAAGAGACAACACAACAGGGGGCAGCAGAGAATAGGATGACTGACCTAAACTGTGTTCATGAAATGGTGAAACCTGCCTTGATAGGGTCTATCTGCATGCTCTTCCCTAACAACTCTGGGGCTAGGGAATTCATGGGCATCCTATCGTCTTGGATACCAGGGTATCACTGGAAACCCTAACAATCATCCAAAACCCACTTTCACATCTGGGACCTCACCAGAGATATGTCTTCTCTCGACACCTTAGGGTCTTTATTTTTCATTCTTTACATGATGGCATCAGGTGGTAGCTGTCTGGAAATACTATAAAACAGATTAACTTAATCTAGGAGGGTTGTCCAAATCATAAAATACATTCAAGTAAAGAAGCAGAACTGGTATCTATGAAGACAAGAAGGACTGAAAAGGGAAGTGAAATAAATTGAGCTAATGAGCTAATTGGTGCCTAATTTGAGCCAAATGTTTTCTGCACCCTTTTTGTTGTTGTTAATCCTCACCAGGTGATATTTTCCATTGATTTTTAGAGAGTGGAAGGGAGGGGGAGAGACATCGATGTCAGAGAGATACATTGACTGGCTGCCTCCCGCATGCACCCCAACCAGGGCTAGGGATCAAGCCTGCAACTGAGGTATGTGCCCTTGACTGGAATCATACCTAGGACCCTTCAGTTTACAGGCTGATGTTCTATCCACTGAGCCAAATAGACTAGGGCTTCTGCACATTTTTAAATTTTTAACTTCACAACCTTTAAAGTTCTTGCTCCATGATTACAATCCTCTCCTGTGTGTGCTCTCTCACACACACATCCCCAAGCCCCACGCTGCGTAGTGAGCAGTTACTCTATGGCACTAAGCTGAACACTTACTACATGGGTTATCTCATTTGATACGTAACCCTGTGCGGAAGTTACTCTTATTTCTCCCACTTTACAGATAAGGAGGTGGATGCAGAGAAAGGAGCAATAGTTGATGAGTGACAGAGCTACTCTAACTTAGGAGCCTGTTATTTAACCATCTTAGTCTCATACGTTCCATGTCTAGAAACTCTCCTGGTTCTCAAAAAGCTCTGAATCTCACTCCTGGAAAAGACAGGGACTGACTCCCCTGGAATTTAGAGATGTTTCTGCCCTAGGAAATTGACTTCAGAATAGATTTATACAATGGGAGCAAGAGTTGGAGAAGAGATTTGGCCAACCATTGGCTTAAATACTAGATTCATCAGACTGCCTTAAGAAGTCTGTAAACAGTATATGGCCTGTGAAGCATATGCAGGTGTACTTCCCTTCCTAGGATTTCCTGAGGATTTGGGACAAACAGACAGAAGTTACAGCAAGACAGATGGAATCAATTTGCAAGAACTTTTTAACCAAGCTGCCTCTGGGAATGTACTCCACAACCTGAGCCAGGAAATACCTTCAGAAAGAAAATTCTGGGATAAGATGACCTATCAGGCTCAGATAACATTTCAATTTTTTAAAACTGAAAATCAGACCTTGTAATTTAAGAGAGAGAGAGAGAGAGAGAGAGAGAGAGAGAGAGAGAGAGAGAGATCATGTAGTTTGAAAGAAAAAGAAGAGAGGCAACTGATGATCCCCTCATCACCTCATACTCAACTTTTCAGGATATCTTCCAACATGGTGTGTATGAGAGAGAGCACACACAAGGAGAGGATTGTAATCATGGAGCAGGAAATACTTGTTGGGTAGAATTAAATAACACCCATTATAGTGGCAGTTACTATAGTAGATGAAGGAATATACTAGTAGAGATTAGTATACTAGTTTATTTTTGTATATCTTTAAAAATAAATATAGATTAGGTGTGAAATAATCAGAGACCGTGTTGACCCTTGATGTGGTGATGTTTCCACTGATTTGGAAATGGAAATGCCATGGTTCTACGATGACTCTTGTGTTTTCCACAGGAAATGGCCGTGTGGATGAATCAAGATAAATCATACCTGCAGCAGAGAGTCTTGGCGATCATCTGCAGGGTGCTAAACTTTGCATCCAAGAAAATGAAGGGATTTGTAAGTGACAGTGTGCTATCTGGCTCCCTGATTCTGAACACTCCATTTCTGTAGTGCTCCTTTCCAAGACTTAGGTCTCGAGAGCATGTGATGCCTGCTGAGTCTGATTGTGCTGGTAAGCTGGGATATTGGGAAAGGAGTCAGAATCCTGCATGACTCTGTCAATCGGCAGGATTTCTCAAGCAACTGATGAAGATGCTCCTGCTTTACACCAAAAGTATGAGTGAGTTAAACAAGGCTTTTGCTCAGTCTCAATTTTCCTCTGTAAACTACAATGAATGCTATTTGTAACTTTACAAAGACTTCCATCCTTACTAATTATTTCACCTTTTCTATCATCTTTATAAACCATTAACTTACCGAATTTTTCGGACCATAAGACGCTCTGGACTATAAGACGCACCAGTTTTTAGAGAAGGGAAATGAAGAAAAAAAGATTCTGAAACAAATAGTGTCCTAAAATATTTTATGTGCATTAAAACCCAACATCACAGTCATAAACACATGTAATCAACCCTGTAAAGTAAACAGCAGCATTTAGAACCATTTTAGAGCCGGGCAAGCACACAGAGACCACACAGAGCCGGGCAAGTAAAAAAACTTTTTTTTTAAAGTATATGTGTAGGCTATATTTGGACCATAAGACGCAGGGACTTTTTCCCCCCACTTCTGGGGGGGGAAAAAGTGCGTCTTATGGTCCGAAAAATACGGTATGTTAAATTTATACAAGTGATTCTTGAGTAGTTTCACTTAAACGTGCTGGAGATATAGCTGAAGTCTTCCTTTATTACCTTCTCCACCCCAATTCCTTCTTAGCCATGTCCGGTGATGTGCGTCCTGCCCAACAGCTTTCAGGAAGATCCACACATGCACACATGGAAATATACTGCTTTGTTCCTTAGTGTTTCTTTACTAAAGAAACCATACTTACCTATGGTTCTGTAATTTTCTTTTGGACAAACAATATGTCCTACAGATATTTTCATAGATTTATTTCATTCTTTAACCACAGTGCATATTCCATAGGTTTAATATATTGTAACTATTCTTTAGCTGATAGACTTTTCAACTGAATGGTTTGGTATATTTTGGTGTGTTTTTTCTACTTCAAACAATATAAAAATGGTCATTTTGTACAAGCATGTGAGTACTTATATATGCTTACAAAGGTAATAAATCAAAAGTTATGAGTAAAGTTAAGTAATGCAGAAGTGTTCTCCAGTTTGCATTCCCTAAAAATCAGAGTGCCCCTTTCCTCACACCTTCACAATGGAAAAGAAATAGGTATCTCATTCTGGTCAGTATTTACTGGGGTTTTCTATATTTTGAGGGTCATTGCCTGCCTTTTACACTATCTATGAACATGTCTCAGTCTTGTGGATACTCAGGTGCTCTCAGTTACAGTTGTAAAGCCTGTTGTCCCCTGCACATAGCCCACTCCTCAATTGTGAAAGAATAAATGCATAAATTCACACATGCAGCAGAATCTCCTGCATTGCTGAGGGTTCCTAGCTATGACTGAGATTTGTCTGAGAGCCAGGTGGGGATAACCTATTACTCTGTTCTGCAATGTTTGCTGAATACCACCAGGTGGAAGCAGACCAGCATTTTCCAGGACATGGAAACAGCTCACAGTCATGGAAGCATCAAACTTCACTAAGTTAATTTTCTCTCTAAATAATGTTTTCTAAGGATGGCCAAGTCAGTGAAATTAATGGGGGTGGGTAAATAAGTATATAATACAAAACAATCAGAAATAGTATTAATAAGTTAAATATTTTAAATATTGTAATAAATTAATAAGTTCTCCACAGGCTTGATCTTTGTATTTCTATGACACAAAATCAATGAAGACTTGTTCTGCCCTTCTCTAACTAAATGTGACTACCAATTCTGTTCTCAGGAGTACGCACCTAATCCCTATTCATTTCATTTACTGAGTAAAGACCTTTCTCTTCATAAATTACCGTATCCTGTGTCTTCCAGAGTCTGAGGCTCCCGTCCTATTGAACGATTCTGACCATCATTCATACTCAGAAATATTTTTAAGTGTGATTCCTCTTAATGATCCATGTGCCTATCAGGATAAGAAAAAAACTACTATAATCAAAGCACATTTGTCCCTTCAATTAAAATATTAAGGAGATGTGAGCTAAACATGTCATAGCATTAACAGAGATTTTTCCTCAGTTTGCTCCTTTGGAACATGAGCATTTTAAAAATGAAAGAAAGGTTTCTAATAGAAGCTAACACATAGACACGTTTTTATCTCACGCCCTATCTCCAGAGTTCTCACAAAATGACAACAGTGAAATAAGTTGAAGGTATAAACCCACAGCAACACAGAGAATGAGTGAAGGGTTTCCAATGGGCTAGTGATGTCAACAAACTTCTGGATGAGAGAGTAGAAAGAAGAGGGTAGCTGATAAAGCCTGTCAGGGAACGCTGAAAGGCCAGAGCACAGGAACTGAGGGTAGGGGACTGAAAAGGAAGGCAGTATACCCTGTGGGACCACGGAGAGACGAGCTGTGCAAGCCCAAGTAATGCTGGTGGGTGGGAGACAAAGGAAGGCTGAACTAAGCAGTAACTAAAAGGATTCAGTGAAAATTGGTGCAGAAGAATGTATATTGCCTCTCCTCCTCCCTGGCGCACACACACGCTATTCCACGGGGACATGAGGCCACCGGCAGGCAAAATCTGAGAACTTTTTTCTCAAAACTGCCGATTCCCTCACAAAATTATCTTGGTTCTGTTGTTTAGATCTACATGACCCCAGGCTCACTTCTTAATCATTCTAAAGTGAAGCCCACCAGTTGACAAGCCTTGTTCACACAGAAAACCCCACCAAGGAACATCACATTTTTAAATATGACCAGACAACCAAGACCTATGAGAAAACCCTCCAAATACAAAAGACTAACCACCTAAATAAAGGGGGGGGGGGGAGATGATAAAAACAAATAATCAAGATACAGATGAGAATTTAGTCTTAAAAAGAGAAGCTAAGACATTTATAGGACTCCTAAAATGGGCAGATTCCAAAGGCATCCACAGAAGCAAGAGTTTCTCTTCCCTTCTTTTGCAGAGATCATCATTTTCAGCATCCTAATTCTGTTATGCTCTGGGTTCATATTCTTTTTCACATTCTTCTTCAGAATTTGTGTGTGTGTGTGTGTGTGTGTGTAATGAGAGAGAGAAAAAGAGAGGGAATGAGGCATGGGTGGGTCAAACAACATGATGGCATGAAAGACAGGGATAAGGGAGCATGAGAGAAATAGAAAGGAGAAACAGGCCTTGGGATCCCCCCTATAGGGCTGACACAAAATTCTACTTTTACCGCCAACAGTTGCTCGAATCATCAAAGTATTTATCTAAGAAAAGTAATCACCTGTCTTAAAGACAAGAGGATTCTGCAGGCCCCCTAACTTTTCAAACCTACATGTGGACAGAGCATAGCAGAAAAACATTGATAATTATATTTTCATAAAAAACAAAATGTCTCTTCCACTTCTCTCGCTGTCTCTACTGCCTTCTTTTTTGCATTTGACCAAGCCAAACAATTTTGTTGAGATAAAAATCTAAATATTTAAGCAACCTGTGTCAGAGAAGTTGCAGGGGAAAATACATAAATGTTGTGGTTGTAGGTTCAACATCAGAAGTAAATGCTCTGAATTTAAAAAAAAAAAAAAAAAAAAAGTTTCCCTGGGAAGAATCAGAGCCATTCCAGAGGAAGTCATATTTCTCCAGTGACGGAAGGAGTCATCTGAAGGTTTTCATACATGAAGAAGGGAAGCATGAGGGTGTATCAATTCTTGTATCTCCCCTCAAGTATCCTGGGAATTGACTATCTACAAATTGCTACTTGATTTATGAAATACAAACTAATAGTGTCTCAATGAGTGAGTCACTGTTATCTCTGAGCCCTTTGCTACAAACTTCCTTTTTTGTCATCCATGCTACCAGCCTCCCCGCCTTAGTCTCCATAATCTATACTAATAAAAGGGAAACATGCAAATGGTTGGGATGCCCTCATGCATAACTACCAATCAGCAGGCTGTGTGCACAGCAGGCGTGGGTGGGCAGGGATTTGCAGCATCAGGGACTTGCGTCATGCCGCCATGCCATCACAATCCATCACCCGGAGGCCTGAGGCCTGGCTGAGGCCTCCATGTGGCTCCCACGGGGATCCAGAGGCCTCCATGCAGCCCTGCCTGGGGGTAGGGCCCGGAAGAGGCCTCTGCAGGGCCAGATCCAGAGGCGGGGCCTGGCGGAGGCCTCCATGCAGCAAGGATTGGGGGTCCTGCGGCTCTGCATGGCGTAGGGACAGGACCCCTGGCTCCAGCCTACCCCTTTGTGGCAATCCATCGAAGAGCCCCAGGTGGATGGATGGGGCCTACCTCTTTGGGACGATGGATCATGGGGCTCCTGCACTGTGACAGGGCACAGGCCATGCTGGGGGACCGCCCCCTCTCACCCCAAGTTTATGAATTCCATGCACTGGGCCAGTAGTAACTGTTTTAAGGTAGAATTTGTTACCTGCATTTCACAGATGAGGAAACTGAGGCTTCAGTAACAGAGCCAAGATTGGAACACAGATTCTGTGAACTCTGAAGCTCATCCTCTCATTCTAGTCTGACATATACATTAGAGGTTAAGGTACAGACATTTAATGTTGACGCTGTTCAGCAATACATTTTTCTTGTTTTCCACTAGGGAAGTGTGGACGCTCCATGTCTTGGGGAACTGGCAGCAGAACTAGCTCTTCTATGTTCCCACAATGATGTGTCCATCACACAGCAAGCATCCTTTGGAATATATCACCTCCTCTGCATTGCAAGCTGTAACAATGGTAAGAAAGAGTCACCCACCCCCTTTTCTAAGGGTCACTAAGAACAGAACAAGCCCAATAAAAATTGAAAGCAGAAAAACAATAAGAGAACAACAATGAAACCAAAAGCAGATTCTTTGAGAACATGAGGGTTGGGGGAGGAGGGATTAAAAGACAGAAATTACCAATATCAGTAATGAGACAGGTAATGTCACTAGAAATTTTACAGGTATTAAAAGAATAATAAGGGATACCATGAACAACTTTAGGCCAGTAAATCTGAAAACTTAGACACATTCATTGAAAACACAAATTACCAAGCTTACTCAACAAGACATTAATAACCTGAAAACCCTATATCTATCAAAGAAAATGAATTTATATTTAAAAGTCTTCTTACAAAGAAAACTCCAGCAAACATTCAAAGAAGATATTATACCAATTCTATACAAATGCATGCAGAAATGTGAGGATGAGAGAATACAGCCTCATCCTATGAGGCTGGCATTGTTCTGATATTAAAACCACATATAAACATTACAAGAAAAATAAAAACAAAAAAAACTACAGATCAATGTCTCTCCAGACAGAACATAGATGCAAATTTCTTTACAAGTTTAGCAAATCAAATACTACAATACATAAAAATAATATTTATATCATGACCATATAGAATTTACCCCAGAAATGAAATATAAACTTAACATTTGAAAATCAATCAATGTAATATACTATATCAACAGATTTTTAAAAAGATAACTATATGGTTATCTCAGTAGACAGAGAAAAAGCATTTGGCAAAATTCAACATCCACTTCTGAATTTAAAAAATAATGATAGTAAACTCTTAGAAAACTAGGAATAAAAATAGAGCTTCCTCTACCAGCTAAAGTGCATCTATGAAAAACCTACAGCTAACTTCATACTTAGTAGTGAAATACCAAGTGATTTTCCAAAAAAATCAAGAAAAAGACAACACTTTGTACTGTCATTACTTCTATCTAGCATTGCACTAAGTAGATCTAGAAATAGATTCACATATACGTGGTCAAATAAATTTTAACCAAACTTCAAAGGCAATTCAATGGCTAAAAGATACATTTCAATAAATAGTGTCTTAAAAATTGGTTATTTCATATGGTGATGAAGGGTGACTAGACTCAATGGGGATAAGCACACAATGCAATATACAGATGATGTATTACAGAACTGTATTCTTGAAACCTATATAATGTTATTAACCAATGTCACCTTATTAACTTTAAAAATTGGTTGTTTGTAGGCAAAAAAAGAACTTTGATCTATATCTCATACATGTTCAAAAGCTAATTCATAATGGATCATAGGACTAAATGTAAAACTATGAAACTATTATAGAATAAACCTTTGTACCTTGGATTAGGCAAAGATTTCCCAAATACAGCACCAAAAGCATGACTTGTAAATGAAAATAAAATAATTTGTATTTCTGCCTTTGAGGACACTATTAAACCCTATCAGGTTTGGTTCATTGGATAGAGCATTGGCCTTCAGACTGAATGGTCCTGGATTCGATTCTCATCAAGGCAAGTACCTCAGTTGCAGGCTCCTCTCTTGCCTGGTCTCTAGTTCGGGCTTGTGCAGGAGGCAACCAGTCAATGTGTTTCTTCCAAATTGATATTTCTCTCTGTGCTTCCCTCTCTCTTTCACTCTTCCCCGCCCTCCCCCCCCCCAAAAAAGAAAAAATACCCTTGGGTGAGGGTTAAAAATAATAATTTTTTTAAACATTCTTAAGGGTAAGCCACAGACTGGGAGAAAACATTTTCAAATTATATATGATAAAAGACTTGTACCCAGAATTTTAAAAGAATACTCAAAACCCATTAACAGACAAATTTAAAAAGTAGAAGTAGATTTGAACAGTCATTTCACCAAAGCAGCACAGATGGCAAGGAAACACATAAAACCATGTTCAATAGAGGAAATGTGAAATGATACAATTTTGGGAAATCATTTGGCAGTATCCCAAAAAGTTAAACACATATCTTCTGTATGATCCAGTCATTTTACAATTTAGTATTTACCTACGAGAAATGAAAACAAATCCTCCTATATAATAAAAGGCTAATATGCAAAATGTCCCCTCAACCATGAGTTCAACCAGAAAGTGGGGCCAGCCCACCAACAGTCCTTGGCCCCTCCCCCTGGTTGGTCCTGTCCCCAACCACTCCCCCAACCCTCCTGATTGGGGGCAGACCAGCTGACCAACTGCCCATGGTCCCTCTCCCTGACCAGCCCCACCCCTGATTGCCCCCCAAACCTAAGGGGGCACTGCACCCGCATCCCCTCCCTCTGGCCAGCCCAGCCCAATTGGCCCCCACCCATGCACAAATTGGTGCACGGGGCCTCTAATATTCATATAAAGACTTCCACATGAATGTGGAATAGCCAAAAACTAGAAACAACCCAAATTTGTAATAGCCAAAAACTAGAAACAACCCAAATGTCCATCAATCAGCAGGTGAGCAGATAAACAGATGACAGTATTTACATACAATGGAATAGCATTCAGTGAAAAGAAGTGAACTATTGATATATGCAACAGCAGGGATGAATCACAAATAATTGTGCCAAGTGAAAGGTGCCAAACAATAAAAGAGTACATGCTAGATGAGTCCACTTACATAAAATTAGAATAGAAAGCAGATCAACAGTTGACTTTGGATCAGGGGGTGGGTCCAGGCAGCAGATGTGAGGGGTTACAAAAGGGCACAAGGGAACTTTTGGAGGCAATGATTATGACCTGTTTTGCTTTACTGTGGTAATGTTTTCATGTATATACACATACATAAAAACTTATCAAATTGTAGACTTTAAATATTTTGTATGTCAATTAACTCTCTATAAATCTGTTGACAAATGAAGTCATTAAAAAAAAACCCACCTGCAGTAGAATTAAAGACAATTGAGGCTTTGGTTGAGCGCTCTGACTTTCCTGCAACACAGTCGCCCAGCCCTGGCAGAATGCCTCCGAGTCTGCTCTTCCAACAACAGATTCCCCAATAGCTTTTCTTTTTTTCTTCTTCTTTTTTTTTAATATATATTTTATTAGTTTTTCACAGAGAGGAAGAGAGAGGGATAGAGAGTTAGAAACATTGATGAGAGAGAATCATCAATCAGCTGCCTCTTGCACACCCCTCACCGGGGATGTGCCTGCAACTAAGGTACATGCCCTTGACAGGAATCGAACCTGGGATCTTTCAGTCCCCAGGCCGATGCTCTATCCACTGAGCCAAACCGGTTTCGGCCCCCAGTAGCTTTTCAAGTGCCCCGAACAATGCATCTGATATCTAAACGTATCGACATCTGGCCAACCTGTTAACATGATCTATGTTCTTCATTCACATTTTATAGAAGTCTCTCTTAAATACTTTATGAATTCTGGGTCAGTGTAGTCATAATAGTTTATGTGACTAGGTGGTCAATAGTCAGAAAACCAGAGCTCCAGAATTAAGCAGAAAGAGGAAATTGGAAAACGCAATGTTGTAGAAGGAACCAATGGTGAAATAAAGTTTAAAAAAAAAAAAAAAAAAAAAGCTTAAGCTCTTTCTTTTACTCAGGGAATACTGCAGGAAGTAGAGTTACAAAGTGTGATAAGTCTGGAAATCACAATTGGCTGCCGACTTCAGTCTTGGATATAGACTACCTCCCTGACATCTTGCGAGGAGACAAAACTAAAATCGCTCGGGTAACTTAACCCCTGCTTCATCTTATGACTTTTGTTTCATGTGTATTTTTTTTGTGTGACAACTTATTTTGACAAAAGTTAAATTTTAATATTTTTTAATTTTATATATATGGAATATACAGAATAAATATATATACACACATACAGTACACAAAAGGAGAAAATATGGTTCGTTCATCTTTCTTAACTGAGAAATGTATTATCATGTAATTTTATTCACATTTCATGGTCCATGGATATTCCTGTAACTTTAAAAGGAGATTGTTTAATTGTTTTTTTGTACCTCAGTTACGAATATATGGGCTTTTTTTCCCATTCTTGCTCCTTGATCCTTCTCTGGGGAAGAGAAAAATCCACATCCTTTCCTACCCCACCCTCTTCTAAATCTCCTACTAATTATGCTTGCTTCTTATCTGAGCAAAATCATTTCCAAAGCTGAAGAGCTTCACAATGATTTCTAATATGTGAGTAGTTGAATTGGGGTAAAATCAATATTTTACATTTCCTTTTAATTGGAATGCCATGGTTTTCCATTTCTCCCTGGCCTGCCCTCAGAGCTGACTTACCCAGATGAAAATCTTTTAATTGCTTTAAAAATTAAGGAAAAGAATAAGTATAATTTAGCTTGATTTATAGTCATCTCAATACCAACACCATTGTTAATTATAATTTTTAACGTTTTGTAATGGAGGAAGAGGCCCACAACAGCAAAAGTAAAAGTGCCTAGACCCCCAAAAGTCATGAGACCCTGCCTAGCCCTGGAGTTTTCTCATGATATCTGGGGTTACATTGATGTACGTAAGGCCTGAGGTCATGGATCTCTCTTTTTTTTTTATTTCAGAGTATAGGACAAACCCTAACGCCAACCTTGCTGACTGATTTTGTGTGGATTCTCTTTATGAGACTCATTGCACCTGATCCTGTAATGGCAAAGGAGGCGGCCTCCTTACTAAGACTGACTCTAGAATCCCACGCCAAAAAGGTTACCATGGTAAGATCCTTGACAATGAGCAGGGGAGCCAGAACTTATCCTCTAAAATGCTCCTGCTGCCTTTGTTTTGTATCTACTTCTTTGCATATATAGTCCTTGCCACTGCATCATTATGTCACTAAATGAAGCTCTTTTTCTGAAATATTTCAAGCATACAGAAAATCTTAGAAAATAATGTAACGAACAGTTCACCCTCCAATCACACCAAATCATAATATTTTCCTGTATTTGCTTCAAACTTTAAAAAAAAACATTAATAACAATAAAATAATACAACTGTAATTCAAATCACCATTAAGGAAAGTTTTTAAGGTCCCTCATTCTGCTGTAGGGCTGCTACCTAATTTGTAGAGCTTGATATGTAGATTTTTCTATTTTGTCAAAATAAATTTGAAGTATATAGTTCGATTATTATTCTGTTTCACATTTTGACTTTCTTCTTAAAATATGTGAATTATATGTCTTCTATATTGAGCTTATATGTCTTAATATAATAAAGTAATCTATACTCCCAAAATAAACTTTTTAAAAAAAATAAGTATTTTCCCACTATTGATAAATGCACAGGAATGTTTATTCCTCATGCGAATACATATTTGTCATTATGTGATCATGCACATAAATATGCACCCCAGTAGTATTTATGTGTTTATTGCTGACTTGGTTATTCTGAGAAGGAGCGAATTCTTCAGTCCAACAAATGCTCTTGGGGATTAGGGCCCAGGAGAGTCCTCTTGACCTGTGAAATGACTTTTCCAGGTATCTAAGATTGTGCATACTATTTATCAGCAACTGTCTGGGAATTCTTCTCACATTATGAGGCACACTATGTTGCGGGTCATCACTTTATTGACGCGTACTTCGCCGAAGAAGGTCATCTTTCAGCTTATGGACTACCCAGTCCCAGCAGACAAGTAAGATTCCCTCACCCCTTCCACAGGGTTTGCTCACAGTGTCCTGAGTCAGACATATCTGGACATGTTCTGGGAGACCAGTCCCTCATATAGGAACTTCAATGCAAAGAGACTAAGCAATAGCATTCAGAACCTAGCATGGATTGACAAGATACCAAGAATACCCTAGCACAGAGGTACGCAACAGTTTTTAAAATGAACAATAGCAATAATAATTTTGAAGAGTGTCCAGGTATGTAGGGAAAGGAGCTAGAGGCCTGGAGGTTGAGAGACCTGGGTTCTAGACACATCCATATCACTAATTAAATGTGTGGCATTTGGCAAAATGGCTCATTCCTCCTAGCCATTAAATGAATTGTTTTTAACTTTATATTGAATTTTCTAATCTTTTCATTTATATACTTTTTATTTAGTTTTTACCTAATTTGTTTTTGCCAATTAGTGTATTTATTTATATGTTAATTTGTATTTCCATCTCAGTTTTTAAATATTCTGTTATTTCTGGACAAACTAGATCACAAGGTGGGAGGAACAGTATTGGGGACAAAAAGCTGACTAGTGCTTCACATTGAACTAAACAGATATTTAAACAGGAAATGAACTTGCAGGCTTTGCATATTATATTTTATTTATTTCATGTCAACAGTATTTTTATTACTGAAATTCTTCCTCTGTTTCCAAAGACAAGTGATTCCAGAGGATCATTTGAAAATGGGAATATTAGCTTGTTCTAGATTGGTCTACAGAGTCTTTTTTGCTTTAAAAAAAAAAAAAAAAAGTAAACCCAAGACCATTCTCCTGATTCATGTCCCAGCATTAAGTAGGAAATGAACCACTTATGATTCTCATTATACAGTGGGTTGTGTTGGCAGCACTTTGATACTGATGTGGCATGCAGCTGGGAACGAGTCCAGCGTGGCCCCCTACGTGCTGAAGACAATCTTGTTGATACTGAAAGGAAAGCCTGGGGAAATACAGGACATCAGCTTGGAAAGAAGACGTTCCTCTCTGGATTCCAATAATATGATGCCTGTGGCGGTAAATAGATGAGTGTTACTTTTTCCTAGTGAAAATTCCCATCTACCCTCAGGTTCAGTCATACTTCCTTTCACAGTCCTGCTCTCATTCATTCATTCACTCATTCATTCATCCAACACATATTTATTGAGTGCCTACTATGTGCTACTTTCTGTTCATGAAGCTTTATGTTCAGGTGAGATACACAAAGATGAAACAAAAAATATGTCATGTGTCAAATGATAGGAATCTTAGAAGAGATACAAAGTACTGTGATGAAAAGAGAGGGACAGGGAAGGTTTAGGTAAGTTGTCCAGGGAGGGCTTCTCTGCTGAGGTGACATCTGAATGAGTTGAGGGAGTTATCTTTGCGGTATGTGGGCAACAGAGATGTAGACAGAGAAAAGAAGGAAAGTTCTATAGTGATGGGAACTCACTGGTATATCACTGAAGGCAAGGAGGACAAACAGTTGGGACAGAATTGAGCAAGGATGACAGCTTGGAAAATGGTTTCAGAGAGGTAGCCACCAGCTGATCATACACACTTCTATAAGTATCTTAAAGGAGACCTAATCTCATTTATGTCCATCATTATACATCTCCCAAGGACCAAAACCATCATTCCTGGGAATAAATTTGAGTCTTACAGAGATATAGAGAATAATGGAGAGTGCTTCACTAACGTGAGGTTGTGAGATGTGTTTCTCTGATGTGGTCGGTCAGTGGGCCGAACAATTTGTTAGTGTCCTGGCCCACCTCTCTTACTATCTCATTGTCCTGGATTGTTTAAGCACAGGGAGGACAAGATCATTGGTAGGACTAGTCTTCATGTCCACAGAGGAAGGGGCCCTTGGGATGTATGCTCTCCTTAGGGACCAGCTTGTTTCCTGCTGATCTGGTGGCATGGGGGGGGATTGCCCATAGTGCTTTGGGAGCTCACTGCCATGGAATGGTTGGCACAAAATGGGTTTAGCAGCTGCTATTGGATGAAGGAACACGTGCATACTTCAGGCTTCCATCAAGGAGGTGGGGATGGGTTTGCCAAGTCCCTGCCCCTGTCCTCATTAAGGCTGACTATGTTTAGAGGGACATGATGACATCCTTGGCACTGTCTCCTTCCCTTGCAGGCGTCCCAGGCCCTGTGCACATTGTTGCCCGTTGGCTCTTACAAGAAAGCAGTAGCCCAGTTCTTTCCTCAGCTCTTGATGGCCCTCATGTTTCAACTCTGCTTTAGCAGCAACATACAACTGGATTCGGACGACCATTTTTTGTGAGCCGGCAGTGGTTACTTCAGATTGAATGAGAGCTCACTTCCATGAGAGCTTGAATGAGAGCTACCCCCTCGGGTTCAAGTGGAGTCTTTATAATCCTGTGGGCAGTTTATTCATTTATTATGTTTTCCCACCTCTAAAGGGTAAAATGCCTTCAGCAAAGTAACTCCTGAGTACCTAGAAGTTAGCCAGAACCTTTTCTGAGTGTGAGTGCTGTGTATAAAGAACCACTTCCACAGAACGTGGCTTATTTCTGTCACGATGAGAGGCCACCACTCAGAGAGAGCACAGGGAGCAACCTGTTCCCACTCCGCCCTATACTCTCTGATAGGGCGCTCTCAGGGCTGTCATACATGTTAGATAATGTGCACAAGTGTTCTCTGTGGTATGTGGGCTTGTGATAGCAGCCACTCATATCCATGTTGGGTGAGGTTCAACTCTTCCCTTTTACCCAAGAGAGTACAGTTAGCTCTGCTGCTCTCTGGGAAAATCTGGATGGACCCAACTGTCCACTATTTGCCCTTATCTTGTATGGACTGTAGGCCAGGCAGAACTCTAATATCATGGTCTATCAGTCCCATTCAGATATTTAATTTACTCTGTCTTTCAAGCATACATATCAGGTACATGAGAATAGGTCTACTTATGTAAAGCATCCAAGGAAGAAAATCAACAGACACCTTGAGCAAGATATCACATCATTTAACATCTTTTGCTAATAAGCTGTTCAAAAGTGAATAAACAAATAAGCTGCTCCAGGGTCAATCCTAGGTTGTACATGCTACAACTTCAGCAGAAACCCACACCCCATGTACAGTTAATCAGGAGAGAGAAATAGCATTTAGCAGTCTCCTTACTTTCAAATACCCCCTTTCCCCAAACCAGGATCCTGCCCAAGATGCAATGAAAAGCCAGGTTACTTGGTTATGTGAAGGCCACAGTCAAGTCATGACTTTTCTCTCCTCCTGGGCCCTAGCTATGCCCGGGACGCCCTAAGAGTGCTACTGAATTGCTCCGGACTGCAGCAGGTGGATCTTTCTCTGAAGAGAAAGAATTTCTGGAAACAGGTCTCCCAGGTTCTGTTTCACCTCCACGGGATCTACCTCGTTGCCAAGTAAGAACGGGCTCTATTTGTACGGGTCCCTGGGGTCTGTCCCACCTTCTCCATCTTTCTTCAGTGAAGCCATGCGGGAACATAATCAATACCCACTCTAACTTCCAAATCTCTTCTGATGATCTGAACTGCCATATGATTTTTACTTCTTCACTTAATTGGAGAGGCTTATATTTTGGAATAGTTTTTCCTTTCCTGCCCTTGTACCCAGTGATATAGATTCCTAATTTCCCTCTCTCCGCAGGACAGGTTTCTCCTTCTGATATGGACAACTAGAGCTGAATCTGATTTTTCTTTCCTGGACTGTTCACTGTTTCCTGCTCTGTAGGCATCAGTTAGTAATTGCTGTGCTCCCTCTTGAAAGGGGTTTGATCAAACCCATGCTCAATGAGACAAATAAATTTGGGAAAGTATAATGAAAGAGGACTTTTGTTTTTCTTTTCCTAGAAAGATTCCTTTTCTTCCCCCCTCCCCCCCCCTAAGTAGCCTGTTAGTAAATAGCAAGATTCTGATTATAAGGGTCAGATTTGCTGATCAAGAATCAGGATACATAATCTTGACAACATAACAGACCATGTAAAGTTGTGACTGCCCCAGAAAGTACATTCCAAATGGTCTCTGGGCTCCTAGTGCTCTTATTTGCACATGGGTTTCAGAAACACATCTAGTTTTGTTAAAGTGTAGTTCATCTACACCCTGCAAATGGCCCCCAGTTAAGAGTCACTGTCCTTAGTAATCTGAGATCTTCGTACTCCCAAAGTGTGGTCCACAGACCGGCAGCCACAGCAACACCTGTGACATACAAATACAGACTCCCATGCAGATCTACTGAATCAGAATCTGCATTTCAGCAAGATTCCCTGGATGATCTGTGCACACATTTATGTCCAGAAGCACTGGAGTAGAGCCCCAACCTGGAGCCTTCAAATGGAATCTGTGCCACCTCATCCTTCCCAATCCTGTGTGTCCTGTCTGATCCCCACCAGGATGTCAGGGCAGCTGTGAGCCTACTCAGTGTCCAAGTGTGTCATGAAGAATGGCTTAGTGAGTTAGGGCTCACCACCTCTTCTCCAGAATAACGCAGGATAGCATCAACTCTCTCCTCTCTTACATCATTTAAAGGAAGGATTTGGTCTATGACCAAAGGGGGGCCTGGATGGCCATCTGAAATTGCCAAGGTATTTATTTTCTCTACCTTTGGTCTGGCACTGATGGGAGGTTGCCATGATATAGGGCATTCTGTTCTGCGGCACAGGATGAGAGACGGGAAAGAACAGTGGTGTTGAGATGTTTTCAGTGACCCGGGTATATATCCATATATCCTTTCCCTTGGTCTGTGCAGAATTCATACTGGGGCTGCTGTTTACCATGGATTAGGGAGTATCAGAGAATATCTTTCTTGTTATCTGGGTGGTACAAAATATAAAGATACTAATTCTATCTTTACCGCCATTATCATTTACAGATGCAGAAGGTATTCTTATCTTCTTTGCTAATTCAGTGCCTCGTCTTTACAGAACTCTCGCTGAACATAACTTTCCGCAATTTCCAGAGACCCTATGTTATCTCTACAAGCTCTCAGTAGAAGGTCCTAGAAGAACAGAGGAGGGTGTGATCACAATAATTTTCCTTACTGAGGTGAGTTTTATTAGGAGACTGTGAACAACTGGGTTCTTATTCCCTTTTCTTACCCAAACTTACCAACATGCCGACCTTTATCTCTCTCTCTGAATATTTATTTTACCACAAATTAAGACAATGACAGATGTCTGAGGTTGACAGGGGGTAAGGTAGAGACAGATTTGGAATATGTGAGAGTTGAACCCTCAGCCTGCTCCAGGAATTGGCTTTTGTTATTTCCTGGAGATTTGCACAAACACTAATTATTTTTGAAATACCATTCATATATCTTTGCATGCTTGTTGAAGTATATGGAGGGATAATTTAATTTACTAAAGTTAGTAGGTAACAACTGGGACCTAAATAATACTTTAGGCTTTCTAGGGCAGGGTTGAGAATGGGCCAAACAACTGGGTGAAATGAAGATGTAGAACTCTATTACTTTGTATATAAATATTACATCATAAATTGTAATGCCATACTAGAGTCAAACAAATTGAGGAAATCCTTTTGGATCTAACTTTAGTTTTCCTAGATAACTAACTATCTAACCAAGCAATATTTAATTAGTATGCATTAAATTCACTACTCACTAGTGATATTACTTTCATTAACTTTATTATTTCATATACATACACACATATATACAAGCACACATTCTAGAGTCTGTCTCAAGTGACTCTCCCGGGTTCCACTTATTTTCATTCTTGTGGAAGCATCACACTATTGAATTATGGCCATTTGCATAAATGTTAATATCTAGCAAACCCTATTCTCCTCAACTCTTCAAAACTTCTGTCTTTCCTATATATTTGTTCTTCTAGTTAAATTTTAAAAAACTTTGCTAGGTTTGAAGAAAAATAAACTTTTTCTGAAAATACTATAATTACATTAATGCTATGAGCTTCTTAGGAAAAGTTGATATTTTTATAATATTTTTTCTTGAATATTTTGTCATTTTCATATAAATTTTATATATTTATTTTGGAATTAAGTTAGCTTATATTATTTTAAGTTGTTAGTGTGGCTTTTTAATTTAGATTCTCAAGCTCATTGTTGCTGAATGTTCAGGACAATTAAACTAATTTCTTGAATTCAGCTCTTACAGTAATTCTAATAATATTTTAATTGATTTACATGATCCTAATGCATGAAAAATGAGGATAATATTATTTACTTCTGTTTAAAGCATTATTTTTTTTTCTTGAATCATGTGTTTTCACCTTGGTTTTTAAAGTTCCATTTTGTGAATAATCTCATTTCTTCTTTGTCTATTTACCTATTATGACCTTAGTATTTTCTCAATGAATTGTATGATTCTCCTCTCTCTTTCTCTTCCTCTCACACACAAATTTGTGAAGGATATCAAGTAACTTTAGAACATAGTGCTTGACTATACATCCTTATTGAGATATATTTTAAGGACAAAAATATTTTTTTACAATACTTTTATTCAGAAGGTAAATTAATACATATATGTTGATATAATTTTAAAGCTATGGTATGCATTATAAAGCAAAAAGCAAATAATTACACATATTAGTATTATTATGCACCAAGGTTTTCCAGGTAAGAGAAAGATGAAGGAAACATAAAACCATAAAAAGTTAACATAAATTGTGTTATATTTGAATTTAATATATCAGCACTGTCAAAATGAACTTACAAGTTAAAAAAATGTATTTCCTAATTCAAGTAAAGAAAGACCCAGAAGACATAATATACCAATAACAATTAGTGCACTCTAGTACCCATTTCTAATGGTGTCTCAATACCATTACTCACTGCCAAGAACCCTGTCTCCTTAAAGAAATGGATAATTTCAGGGGGCAAGAAAATATAAGATGAACCTGGGACATCTCATTTTTCCACAAGTAAAGAAGTGCTCAAAGGGAGATGGAGCGTATCAAAAGAACTTAAGAGTCAACGTGTAGGGGTCCTACTGTCCAAATTTGAGTATCAAAAGAAATATTAACTGCAAATAACTGAAATATGTTGAAAACATTTTAATGCATAAGTCCTTGGTAATACTCAAAACTGGAAAGCTGGGCTAGGGAGGTGGGGTGGTGGGGAGAAAGAGATCAATAAATGTAGAAAAAAATGCTAAACATAAAAAAAATCACTATTTGCAAGTCTCAATATAATAAATGAACAAGTGAAGAAAAAATCATTAATAATTTTAAAACCATTAAGTGAAAAGTTACTGGAGAACACAGTATTCACATGATACCAAATTATCACTCCACCAATGAGTTACTAATTGTAAAGGGAAAAGTATGCCTTTTGCAGTTGCTGTGGGGTGATGCACCACAGAAATATGTATAAGTATTCGGAGTTTGAGTGTGACTTGTGTTCCAGTGTTACTGAAAATGCCTTGATTTTTATGCCTGAAACTAAAATTGCGCATTGGCCTTTACTCTTCTTAGGAACGTAATAGCTGTTTTCTTTCAGCTTCTAAACAGATTCTTCAGGGACCCATTCCCAGAAGAATTTCTGGTCCTCTTCAGGAACTGGGTCAATGACTCCAATCCCGCAGTTAGCAAACTGAGCCTGCAGAAAATAGCCTCCATGGCACCAGTGATCAACCAGGTATATGTGTGTGTGATTTGTGTCCCCAGCACCATCCAGGTCACAGTCTGAGACTTAATATTGCTCAATATCCGTACTGATGCTTTATCACTAAGGGATCTGGGTTGACTGGAAGGAATGTGGTAAGTCAATTTAGTGGCTTTATCACCTAATTCATATTTTCCCCAGAAAATCATTCATAGCACTCAGAATTTAGCAGCTCTTCTTACACTCTTCTTACACTCTAAATTAAGTCACACATGCTAACTTCCTTTCCAACATATACATGTGCATGCATGTTAATCAGCATCTCCCAGCACTCCCTCAAGCTTTTTCTTCCAATGATGATAACACTTTCCTCCGTCACCTATACATGGTCACATTTTTCTTTTTCAATGGTCAGTTCTAGTCCAATTCCATTGACTGTTCTGATCTTTAGCAGCCTTAAATTTCCGAGCCACACCAGCTATGTGCACTTGCTTATACAATATTTTATATCTGTGCTTCTCCACATATAATTCTGAACCAGTAGCATCAGCATGTCCTAGAAACTTTAAAAAAAAATGCAACGTGGGGGTTGGAGTGGTCAGGAAGGAGTCAATGGGGGAAAAAGGGAGGCATATGTAATATTTTAAATAATAATTTTTAAAAAGAAATGCAATGTGTCAGGTGCTGGGTCAGGCCTATGGAATCAGAAATACTGGGGCTGGATCCCACCCATTTGTGTTTTCAAAAGTCCTCCAGGTGATTCTGACACTGCCCTATATTATTGCTGCTGAGTCATATCACTACATCTTACCTTCCAGGAAGTTTGAACCTAAGTGTACCCCTGTTTTGTAATTCCTTGTAAATTTCAAGGTACTTTGCACAGTGCTGAGCGCATAGCTATTCTATAAATCACTGATGGTTTAATAATATATTTAATAACAAATCCTTGTTTGTCTATTAAACATAATCTCTAAAAACTTAAGCCAGTCAGAGGGCAACAATTTCGCATTTAAAGTGAAATTAGCCAAGGTCTATTTGCTTTAAATAAGTCATACAAATCAATGTACATTCTTTTAATGAACAGAAAGTTAGTTATTGCCTTGTCTAGCACTCTTCTCAGTGTTATGAACACATGAGGGGAAATTCGGTGTCAAGGTTATTTAGGAGAGTGAAATTACTGGACTGAGGTTTCATACACTATCTATTGGTAAAGACTCAACTTTCCTGCCATACACAGCAGCCTTTGGCTATTATTTTGGCAAATAGTATTTATTTCTTTTACTTTTCTTTCCAGCCTTTCTTTTTTTCCTTTGGTGTCTCCTGTTCATGTTTTATCTTGCCTTAAATTCTGATTGTTTCTGATCTTCAACTGACTCCCATGACCTAGCACAGGACCTCAGTGGTTCTCGTGTCCAAACAAGGCATCATCACCTAGTTTCGAGGGCATGCTGCCAGTAGCATGTTGGTAAATGTTTAACAATCAGCTCAATGGAAATAAGACCAATTTCCCTGGTTTAAATATTCCCACCATGACTGACTTCAAGCTATCAAAGAAACATCATTAAACACAGAGTTGGGAATAGGTGCGTCATAGTACATCATACAGATATAATACATGTAAATAACATCAAGGGCATATAAGAGTAAAATGTAGTAAAATAAATAGGAAATAATGTTTTGAGTATTTATTGCCATTGTTTTTGTTTCTAAATTTAATTTTTAGTAGTGATTTCTAATGATCAGCTCACAAAAATTTTGACCACTGACTCCTGTGAGCCAGCTCCAGCATATTGCCACATGCTGCCCAAATGTAGACATGTGCATACCAAATGCTAGCTCAAGTCTCCTTCTGCTTCCCAAATCCCACCATTTTCCTCCTTTCATATGTAGATAGAAAGTGTCTGCAGCTTAGTGTTATCCATCCTGGATGCCTTCTTTTCCAAAGACAATACTGTTGTAATTCGGGCCTTATTTACCCTTCGGAGACTTTTAAACAAGCTGGACAAGGTGATCTACTCGTCTTTGTGTACCAGAATTGCTACCAGCTACTGCCCTCTGATGGATCATGTGAGTTACACAGTAAGATGTGTGAGATCACTAGGTTTTATAGTTCAGCTGAAGTCCCAGCTGAGGCAATGATGTTATATCCCAGAGTAAGTCAACAGAAGCTAGTCATTTTGTGCTGAGCCAATATTTCTTTTTGAGATAACAATATTAGTTAGGTAAGTTATTAGTTAGGTATATATTTTTTTGTAATTATACTATGAAAACCTGGAAAAGTCTACCCATAAAAAGGGAGAATTAAAGAATAGCCTTGTCTTTGGAAGAAAAAGAAATTGTAGCTAAGTGGTTAAATATTGGTTAACCCTGGACCTGGATTTCCTGGGTTCAGATCCTGCTCTGTCTCTTACTAGCTGTGAAATCTGAAGCAGGTGATTCAGTCTCAGTGTTTCAGGGTCCCAATTGTAAAAGAGAGTGTAGTAGGTGTCTTATAGGAATTAGAAATTATGTGTAATGCCCTAACTGGGTTTCTTATCATCATATAAAACTTTTAAAAAGTACCTCATCAAAAAGTTATATATTTTGAAAATCCTCATTTTGTATGTTAAATGTGTTCCAGACAAGTTGGATGACAGTAATTTATTTTAATAATCCAGAACACTTTGGTATGTCATGAGGAAATTTATTTTTCAATTTATCTTTATTACTGGATGGAATCTATTTATTTTTAAAGGTTTTTGGAATGATTTATTTGTGAACCAAATAATTATTTCACAGTAATTTATCTTACCAAATTTTATATTCTTAATTACTCAGATTTCCAGTTTTATGCCACTGTGATCTGAGAAGATGCTTGATATGATTTCTATCTTCTTGAATTTGAAGAGACTTTGCCTATGTTCCAATATATAATCTATCTTTAAAAATGACTCATGTGCACTTGAGAAGAATGTATATTCTATGGCTTTGGGGTGAAATATTCTGAAGATGTCAATTAATTCCAACTGGTCTAATGAGTCATTTAAGATTGATGTTTCTTTGTTGATTTTTTGTTTAGATGATTTGTCCAATGGGGTATTAAAGTCTCCTACTATGATTGCATTGCTGTGAATCTCCTTGATATCCTTCAGGTGTTTTTTATGTATTTGGGTGCTCCTGTATTGGTTGCATATATGTTTACCAGAGTTATTTCTTCTTGTTGGATTGCTCCCTTTAGTATTATGAAGTGGCCTTCCTTATATCTTGTTATGTCCTTCACTTTGAGATCTAATTTGTCAAATATAAGCATTGCTACTCCAGATTTCTTTTCATTTCCATTTGCCTAGAAAATCTTTTTCCATCCCTTTGCCCTCAGTCTGTGTGTGTCTTTTTCTTTGAGGTGAGTTTCTTGTAGACAACAGATATATGGGTCTTGTTTTCTTATCCAATCCATTACCCTATGTTTAACCTATATGGGATAAAAATGGGGTTTCAACAAGTACCAGGGCATTTCAAAGCTCTTTCCTACTTATAATGATTTCATATAGGTATGTGTACATATATATACATATGTAAAATACATACTTATGTAGTATATATATACATATACATGTATAAATAGATATAAGTGTATATGTCACACTGTTTAAAGAAAGAAGCTCTAGAAATATCCTCAGATGCATCTTTTCTGTGCACAAATCACAGAATGATGCAGGCATTCGGAGCATGGCCATCCGGCACTTTGGTGAACTGCTCGAAGACATGAGCCAGTACACATGGATGTTGAATGCCGTGGTTCTTGAATCCCTGGTGCCTTTGATCCTGTTTCTGGAGGATATAGAGACAAGAGTCGTGATGGTAAGTCCTGCCACCTTGTCCTTAGTTCTGCAGAGATGGGCCTTGAACAAAGAGATGCTCATTGACCGCTTCCTACTTCACAGGCATGTAAACATACACTGACAATCTGTGCCTTCCAATTAAAATGGTCAAAATTTCCACGGTCCATTGAGCATTACAGATTTGAGCTGGTGGTGCTCAACGTCTGCAACAATATCGTAAGTGGTCCTTTGGTGTTTCCTACCACACATTATAGAAAGAACATGAAAGAATCTTCAAAATAATGGAAATGTGTTGGGGACAAGAGTGAATCTTGGAGAAGGAAGGCGAAAAAAATGGCTGGTAACAGCTAGGTCTTATGTCCAGAGAAAATTAACATTTTCCCCTTCCTCTTTCTCAACATTGATGCTCTTTAGTCCTTGTTCCTCCAACCCAGCTACATGGATCTTTGGGTGGGTAGGAACATCTTTTCAGATCACCAAAAAAAAAGTAGAAATATCTTGTCACTGCCTAATGAGCTGGTTTCCTGATACCAGCATGAACTGCAGTGACAGATGGAAGCATGCTAAACAAAGGCTGGAAACACTGGGGTTGAAGGGGGGGTGGGGGTTGAGAATCATACAATTAGCTGAATGATATCTGCAAACAGAAAGGTTCATACACAAAATCTCAGGTTTTAAACTGGTCCTTATTTGATATAAGCAATTAGGTTATTTTCTCTGGAAGCCTCTCTGAAAGGGAACAAATGTACTTTTTCAACAACTGAGAGTGATTCCCTCCCCCTTTTTTATTCTCAGTTTATTTCTCATGGGAGCTACATTACAGATTTGCTATCTGATAGCTTAGGATTCCTGAGGAGCTCCCGAGCATACCTGAGGAGAGCAGCCGTTATTTTAATAGGTAAATAAATTTCAATTCTCATTTCCCCATTTGTCTTAAAAGATATAGCTAGAAGTCTTCCTTGAAAAAAATTATAAAATTTTTTTGCTTATGATGGATAGGACCCATCATGATTGTGTCTATGATGAATAGAGGTCAATACGTATGAATAGCATAAAGTTATATTTTATACTAGACAGTGAGTATAGCTGTGTAATTAAATTACTATATGAAGTGTATTCAAGAAGGATGATTTCAAAATTTAACAGATGGCATGCCACTGCTCATTAATCCCCTTCACTGCTTAAAAATCAATAACATATATTTTTTTAAAGAAAAATTGGGCATCAATAACCATACTCTATCAGAAGAGGAAGAGCTATCAAAGTGTGTGTGTATATATATATATATATATATATATATATATATATATATATTTAAAAAAAAAAAAAGGTAGGGTTGGGGGCAGTACAGGAAGATTCTAAGAGAAGATAACGAAAGCTTTCAATCTTGGACAAACCTGACCAAAGAGGTTTTTCCCCACTAGATTCTCACCATGAAGATTCAAATTGACAATGCTTTATTTGGAATGACACGAAGTGAGTTCCTAACTTGGTAATAGGATTTTCACTTAACCCTACTTGATACCAAGGAATAGCAGGACAATGAGGAATCAGAAAATGCACAGTTACATTGTTGTTGTAGAAAGGAGACCAACAGTTAACATTAAAGACAAACTGAATAATTATGACCAGCTACTAGAGCTCATGATCTGTGCTAATGAGAGAGGAGGAAAGGAACACATACACACACACACACACACACACACACACACACACACACACACAACCTGGTGTCACAAGAACTTAATTTCAAACCAAAAAGAATTCCTTCTATTCTGAATTGTACCCTGGCATTTTCCTCTGTATATAACTATTGCAAGATCAAAAAATAATTAATTTTTTAAAAAAGAAATGGCATTATTTTTCTACAGAGGTATTTCCAGGTAGGAAGGAGAGGGAAGGAGAGGAAAGAAAGATGAGAAGCAAATTTTATAAAATGTTTCTACAGAGCAGATGAAAATCATGATAAAAATCTACATGCCCAGCTGGTATGGCTCAGTGGTTAAGTATCAACCTATGAACCAGGAGGTCACAGTTCGATTCTGGAGCATGGCACATGCCTGGGTTGTGGGCTCAATTCCCAGTAGGAAGCATTTAGGAGGCAGCATTTAGGAGGAGAATGATGATTCTCTCTCATCATTGATGTTTCTATCTCTCTCTTTCCATCTCCCTTCCTCTCTGAAATCAATAAAAATATGCATTTTTTAAATCTTTAAGAATCTTAAAAACTTTTTGAAATAAAGATCTAAAGTATAGATAAAAGCACAAAGTCAATATATGATGGCATAGTGGGATCAAAGCATAGGAAGCATGTGTAAGAAAAATACATATAACCATCACACAAAAAAAACAAACCTGCAGTGCAACCAGCATAAGAGAAAATACATATTTGTTGAAAACCCAGTAAGGGATAAGGAGTACAGTGTTGAGAAACACTATCAAATGAAATGAAAACCAGTAAGAAACAGTTTGAAAAATTAAGGAGCAATTAGTATTAGATATGAAAGATTCATAAAAGAGATGCACACAGGCATAAATTATTAATTAATTAAACAATGAGAACAGAAAAAAAGTAATCAAAGATGTAATTTAAGAAATAAAATAGACTTGATTAAATATACTGAGATGGTAAATAATTTTTTAATAAATATTTTATACAGAATGCGTCAGTAAGACATTTCCTTATAAAGTTATGGAACTTCAGATTTAAAGAATTATTTGAGAATTTAAGCAATAAAAAGTCACCTGTAAGTTTTTAAAAAATCTGGTATCTGATTTCTCTGTTTCAGTTTTAACCTCTTAAATACAGTAGAGTATGCCTACAAAATCCTAAGAGGAAAAAAACTGTGACTGAAAAATTATACCCAACTATGAATATAACAGGAAAACACTTTCAGAAAACACAAAAACTCAGGATAAAGCATTGCCATGAATCTTTCTTGAATAAATAATTAAAGGATGGAATTCAGTCAACTCAAGAATGAATGGCTAACCTATTGCAAAAAGACATGCAGTAGGTCTCCACCAATTCTTGCTTTTCTCTGGGCCTCTGCAGGCTGACCTTTATGGTCAAACCGCCGCCACCACCACCACCAGCTCCCTTTCCAGTTTGCTTCCAGGTTGCATTTAATGCTCATGAATGTATTTAAAGGACAAGGACATATGCTTAATATTCAGTAATAACTGTGACAATGTTACTCACAAATTGTCCCATCAAGAATCCCCACTGCACACCTGTTGAGAAATACCAACCAACAAGTTCTATACAACTGAAAATAAAAAATGCCAACCAATAATTTCATAGATCTTGACAGATCTATTCTAAAAGTATGCAGAAAAGTCAAAGGCCAAGATACTCTTGAAGAAAAAATGTGGGCTACTAGTCCCACCATATATAAAGATTTATTATAAACTTACGGAATTGTAGACAATTTGTTACTCATGCAAAGATGGAAAGAACATTGAAACAGAATGGGAAGCCTAGAAATAGATCCATACATATACAGCGACCCTGAAAAGTAGTAGGAAAAGATAGTTTTTTCTCGTAATTGTGCTGAGTCAATTGCACAGGTACATCAAAAAAATAATCTTGGCTTGTACTATATGACATATAATTCCAGTTGGATCTACAATCCAAAAGTGTGAAAGGTAAAATCATAAAGCTTCTAGAATTAAATACTGGAGAATATCATTATAATATTCTTGAGGCAAGCCAAAATTTCCTATCAGACCCAAAAAAAAAATTGGACTATGTAAAAATTAAAGATGCATGTTCATTAAAAAATACACACAATATAAATGTGAAAGTTTAGCCACAGGTTAAAAGAAGATACTAGTATTCCTAAGTTATTTAACAATGAAAAAAAATTAGTATCTAGAATTTTTTTAAATGCCTACAAATAAGAACAATATAGTCAACTATATAAAACCAGGAAAGTCTTCAACTATATAAAACCAGGAAAGAGGCTTATTTGAATGGGCATGTAACAAAAGAATATCCAAATTACCAATAAATATAAAAAACTCTTATGCATTATCACAAAAAAAAAGTGAAATAAAATCACAATGTAATACTACTACCAAACCCATTAGAATAACTAAAAGGGAAAAAAAATAACAAATGGTAACAAATGTTAGAGTGGCGCAATGGAATTGTTCATACACTGATGTGGGGAGTAAAATTTAGTACAACTGCTTTGCACTGTTTGGCAGTAACAATTAAAGGTGAACATAGCATATCCATCAGTCAGTAAGTCCTCTCCCAGCTGGATACCAAACATCAATGCATACAAATGAATACCAAAATCCATATATAAAAATGCCCATAATAATATTACTTATAATAGACCAAAATTGGAACACACATTGACCAGCAGAATGGGTTAAAAATGCTGAGTTCTTAAGGAAGAAATATCACTAGTACATATTTCAGGCTTAGAGTGCCATATGATCTGTGTCAGTGATTTTTCAACCATTGTGCTGTGAGAATTTTTAAAATATGCAATACCTAACTATTTAATAGAGGGCGCCAACCTCTTTTCTCTTAGATTGTCAAAATAAATGACAACAGCCAACACAATAGCCTTTGGGTGTGAATGAATCAAAATTATTCTTTTATCAGATTGACAAAAAATATATTTTTTAGTATGCTGTAGAATTTCAGTAATTAGTTTATGTGTGCTATGAGATGAAAAAGGTTGAAAATGGCTTGTCTATGTCACAAGTCTACTGGTATGGGTGAAAGCAGCCAGAGATGATATGTACACATACAAGCCCATGAGCGTGGCTCTGTTTCAAGAAAACTTCAACGGCCAACCTCTGCCATTAGCAATGCAAATAAATGAACTATTGCCCCATTAGAGAACATGGATGAATCTCAAATAATGTTGAACAAGAAAAGATAGACCCAAAAAAAGGTAGGAGCAGATTGGGAAAGAGCATAAGGAAGGCTTCTGAGATGCTAGGCATGTTCCATTTAGGTCGTAGCTAAAAATCTTCACTTTGTGATCATTCATTGACCTGTGCAATTAGTTTATGTGCATGTTTACAAACATACATATTTTTCAATAAAGAGTCTTGTTGATAAGTATGTGAGAGCACTAAAAGAGGACCCAAGGATAATCTAGAGATGTTTTGCTTTGAAGAAGGCAATGATAATAGCTAGATAACATCAGAGAATGTATTTTCATAATGTGTTTTGGGGTTTTATTTTGTGTATAGGATACTTGGCAATATCGGGTAGACATTTACTGCTCAGAGATGATATTGAAGTCATTATGAAGGGTAAGTGTTGAAGGTATGAAATCTTCATGCACAGGTCTAAATACATTCACTATTTGTGATTCTAGTCACTTGAGTTCTCTAAAGAGGCCGGGGATGGGAGGAGGGTGGTGGTAAGGGGGAAATCAAAGGAAGAACTGGGTTAAGGGGCATCCCTTTCCCCATTCTCATTCTCATTCTCATTATATTCATTCATTCTCTCTCTCTCTCTCTCTCTCTCTCTCTCTCTCTCTCTCTCTCTCTCTCTCTCTCTCTCTTTCAACTTATCCCCCTAGAGTTCTTAGGAATAACAAAGAATTGAAAACTGATTCACTCATTCATCCAACAGATATTTTCCCAGCTCTATTTTGGAGTTACAGCAGCAAACAAAACAAAGACCTACCCTCAGAGGATTCAATTTTAAAAGAGCAATGTATACCTGCACCTTTAAGAGAAACTTAAAGAAGGGTATTATTTATTCTATCAAAATGTTGGGATCTTTGGCATCTCTTTCTCTCTCTCAGCCTCTATTTCCCAAACCGAGATCAGAATAACAAACAAGGTAGAACAGTTTCAAATTTACAGCAAAATTGAGTGAAATATATATAATTTTCCCTTATATCTCCTGCACCCACACATGTGCAGCCATGCCATTATCAGAATCCTCCACCACATGGTATATTTGATATAACTGATGAACCTACATTGACACATCATTGTCTTCCTTCCTTTTTCATTCATTCATGTATTCACTCATTTATTCACTACATTATTTCTTGACTGCCTGGTAAATTCTCTATATCTCTTCAAACCTTTTTGTTCTTTCTCTCTTTCTCCTACACTTTTTTCTCTCTTTTTTTCCTAAATATGTCCTTCCCTCCTCCCCTCCGTTTCTTTTTTTAATAATTTAAAATATTTTTTATTGATTTCAGAGAGTAAGGGAGGAGAGAAATATAGAAACATCAATGCTGAGAGAGAATCATTCATCAGCTGCCTCCTACACACCCCCTACTAGAGATCAAACCTGCAACCTGAGCATGTGCTCTGACCAGGAAGCAAACCACGACCCCCTGGTTCATAGGTTGACACTCAACCCCTGATCCATACAGGCTGGGCTCCCCTATTTCTTTTTAAGAAAGAAAGGAAAAACTTTCCACAAACCCAGGACCTGAAAATAATGATATTAGCCTATCATCTATAATAAAAAGCATAATATGCTAATTAGACCTAACATCCTTCTGGACGACCTCCCAGACGAAGCTGGGGCTGCAGGGAAGCCCAGGTCTGGCAGCTGGAGGGAAGCCCAGGTCTGGCAGCTGGAGGGAAGCCCAGGTCCGGCTGCCAGAGGGAAGCCAGTGCCGGCAGCTGGGGGAAGGAAGGCCTACTCTTGCAAGAATTTTGTGCATCAGGCCTCTAGTTATATATATAATCCCAGACATTTAAGTTACTACATGGTTATTTTCAAAACAACCCTGTTTTATAACTTTTTTTTACTTATTCATACATAACAGTGCCAGAAATGGCAGGAGGTTGGTGGTTAGTAGGGGAATCAAAGGAATAACTGGGCCCATGACATTCCAGTTTTGAAGTAGTTCCCTATTGAAGAACATTTAGACTGAGTGCAACTTTTTTATTTTGAGCTATTTTGAACCGCTTTGTGAATATATGTTTATGCTGTATAGAAAAATGCTCAGCACAGAATAGATACTTCATAAATGTTTAGTGAATATTTCCATTTTTCTTTTAATTATGTCTGGATAAAACTTCCTGATTGCTAGCAGTCAAATTAATAAAAATTGGGGGTGGGGGAGGAGAAAATAGAGGAGAACTCTGAAAGGTGGGGCTGTGCAGAGTTAGAGCTTCTCAGACTCTGAGACAGATGCCTTGAACTAAGGGCCCTTCTGCCATTACAGCTGTCGAACGAGTGCTTGTGGATGAAGACCCTCTGGTCAGGGATTTGGCAAAAATAAGCTGTGAACTTTTCAAGGAAATAGCCCGTAAAATGACCTCCTCCGTTATTAAACAGAGCTTACGAAGATTGTTTAACTTCATCTACATCAAAAAAGTGAAGCCTCTTTATAATTATTACACACCTTCAAGTTTCAATGAGGTTAAAGAAACATGTATCATTGACGACAATGTGGAAGAATGAGACATTCGCCAGTGCCTTGGAGAACAATTCACAAGAGTGGTGGTTTTCCCTTTCCCTCTTAATAACCGGAGTCTATTTGTAGATGCTTTTCTGAAGGAAAAAAGGCCTAGGAGCCATTTTACTGTTCCTTCTTAATTGTCTTCCTATATAGAAATATGTTGCCTCTCTAGATCTGACAGTGATCAAAAGTCTTAATTCATCAAACTAATAAAATTGAAAAATATTACAAGCAAATGTTTGATGAGAAGCTCTTGGAACTTAATTCAACCAATAAGCATCTATGGAAAACCTTCCAAGGGCCAGACACTGTGCTAGGCAGTGGGGATCCTAGAAGGGTCCCATTTCAGGAAGGCCATAGTCTAGTGATACTCAATCTGGCTTATTTCCATCCTACTAGGATGAATGTTGGCATAAGTAATATTTACAAAGATTACTTATGGAACTTGCAAAGGAAGAGGAAAGGGGCAGGGAAATGTATGACAGGTAGAGACATTGAAAAGTTGTGGGGGAATAGCAAGAATAGTTGTGGGGGAAGCTGGAGAGTTTATTGTTGATACAGGTGGGTAAGGTGGGAACTAAATTTATCAGGTTGACCACTTCATAAACCATATAAATGTCTAATCACTGGATGGTGCACCTGAAACTGTGATTAAAAAAGAAAAAAAAATGTTTTTAAATGGAAGAGCCAAGACCCACAGAGAACATTATGCTGTGCTAATGGCTTTAAACTTTTTGAAGTGAAAACTAGATTGTCAATCATACTTGTTTCCTATTGCCACCAGGATCCAGTGTAATATGTTGACCTACTCCTACTGTGTAAGAAAGCTGATATACAAATGTTGATCTTCATGACTAAAGTGAACTTGCTTGACTAACAGGCCCAGGGTCATTTTACACTCATCCACTCCTGTATTCCCACCCAGAATAAACCACTCCAGCTACAGGAAACTACTCTGTGAGGTGAAAAACCTCTTTCCTCTGTCGATTCCCGTGTTGTAGCTTTGTAATGTGTCAACATGGCGTTCACGCGTATTCTCATTTCTCTGTGGGATCCCTCGCAGAGCCCCACCTTCCCACAGGGCCTCCATCAACTTCTTCCTCTGACTTTCGAGTCAGGTGGGTTTAGCTCTGCTGGCAAAGGAGGCCAGTGTCTTCTATTTAACACCCATATCATCATCCTCATCGATGCTGGAAGCAGAGATAGACTGACATAGTCCCAAGCTTATGGTTCCACCTTGCCCTTGCTCTCCCAGTTGACACCACCCTCTCTTCCTGTCCTGTCCCAACTTTCTGCCCTGTGGGCTTCAAGCTCCAGCACCAGATTTGAAGACGGCAGCTTTGTAGAGACCACAGTTAAGGTGTGCCCACAATTGCTTATGGTCAAATCCCTGGTTCTGCTTCTCTAATTTAATCCCAACGGACAGATCTGAGATATATTTTCCAGGCCCCTTCAATTAAGTACTTGGGTGTGGCTCTTGTGTTTGTTTCCCTTTAACACTTGTAATCGTGTTCCTGACTAATTGTATGATTTACAGTTTGTTCTCTGAATAAGCCCATCTCTATGTCTATATTTATCATTATCTTCTTACTTAAAATCCAAGCATCTTCAAAACCTATCTTAAATCTAAATTCTTTCCTCCTGCATCAGACTTTGTACTTGTTCCCCTGAAGCAGGCTGAGGTCTGTCTGGTTATGAATCCAATGGCCATAAAGGGTGGGTTGGGATACATCTTGGGAATAACCATCCTTTTGCAAAGCAAGAGCTCTGGGCGAGATTATTACAGAACCTTTAGCATCCCTCAGTCATGGTAGGTGGGTTGCCTTCACTGTAAGAGGGCCTCTGAGTGGCTCAAGGATTCAAGAGTCTCAACTTCATTGAAAGGCTTGATGAAGCTGAGGATGCAGTCTACATTATAGTACTAAAACATGCAAAAGTAAAATTTGTTCTGATTTTCAGAGAGATTCGCTCTGAAGCTACAAGAAATAAAAGCTTTTAGGTCCATAACAGGAGCTCTCCGGCTTCCTGACTGTGAATTGTACTGAGTGTCTAAAAATTTGAGTTTGTCCTTTTCATTCCTAAGGGCTTCAGTGCGCTCAGGAGTAGTTATCCCTCCCATTGACGTTGTGTTGTGGACATCATTATTGTCACACGGGTAAGTGCCCCAGCCACTGGGTACTCCAAGGCCCTTGCTTCAGTAGATACTTCCTCAAAATCAAACATAGATAATAATGTGGTTAATATGCTGTGGTTTATTGCTTCCTGATTCATTACTGTCAAAGAATTCAGCACTACGTTCAAGTCAAAGGACATGACCAAACCAACTCCCAAATTTCTTTTGAGTGTTATTCCTGTGGACCCTTTCTTGCACCAATTTCTGCATCAGTCAATGTCTAATCAGGAACTAGAAACTTCAGATCATGCTCCCTCATGGCACAGGCCTCTGAAAATATGGCAAGCCTGGTCATTGTGGCTAAGTGAACTGAACATATCCCATGTACTAAGAGGTCACTGGTTCAATTCCTGGTCAGGACACATGCCCAGGTTGCCAGCTCAATACCCAATAGGGGTTATTCAGAAGGCAGCCAACTGATGATTCCATCTTATTTATGTTTCTATCTGTCCCTCTCCCTTCCTTTCTCTCTAAAAGCAATAAAAATATTTTAATTTTTTAAAATTATTGGCAAGATATCAAAGACACTAAAAGACCAGAAGAGAACACAAAATATCAGAAGTGGTAACTATAGAAGGAACTACCACCTCCAGACAGAGCTGAAGAAAAAAAGGAAAGAAACTGGGATTATTGAACCTGAAAAGCTTAGAGAGTTAGAGAAGAGCTGGGACTTCCCCTCTGAGGACATAGATAGTGGTCCTACGATGTTGAAACCACTGTAAACTGAAACTACTTATTGAACCAACATGGCTGCCTGCATGAAGCCATTCGCTGCAGCAATACTGAAAGAAACAGGAAAGATCAAGCACCTTCTTTTCCTGGCTTCTGAATGGCTTTTCAGAGTCCCAGGCCCAGCATCAGAAAGCATAGCATAAAAGAATGGGTTTGAGGGGGAGAGAAAATAATAATCAACCAGCATTTTTAAACTCATCTAAATGCCACTTCCTCCATAAAGGCTTTCTTAATTTTATCCCAGGATAAATATGGGCCCTGTTTCCTTTGACTCGGTGTAACTTGGTTTCCTTTGATGTCACTTGGATTTTGGCCTCTACTAGAGTTATACCTGTACTTTTCTTAATCTGTCCCATGTCCACTGTCACCCTCCTCTGTATACAGTCACATACCTCACTTATTTCCACAACTCCTGCCACTTCTCAATACTCTGTCATTGAATTTACTCACTGCTGACTCCCCAGTGCCTATAATTGTACCTGGCACATAATAAGTATATATCTATATATATAAACGCCTAAGAAATTAGAACGATTGACCAACAAGTCACTATGATACACACTGACCACCAGGGAGCAGACATTCAATGCAGGAGCTGCCCCCTGGTGGTCAGTGTGCTTCCATAGCCAACCTTCCATGGCCCCTTCCCCAGCTGGAATCTCTCTCCTCCCTCCCCACACCCCCATAAACTTTGATCACCGGCCAGGCTGAGGGAACCCACTGTGCAGGAAAATCATGCACCGGGCCTCTAGTTTTATAATAAATGGCTAAATGAGTTAGTGAAGGAATTTAACTGAACTGAACATCAATCTTGGGACATTAGGCCTGGGAGATACCAAGGATTTTTTAATATGGGAATGCCTTGGTTAAAGGGCATGCCATTTGAGGAAACAAAATAAAATGTCTTCTTTGTGAAGTGACTGACCTAATTTCAAACTCCAGAAGCTTCTCTCCTTATCCCCTCTTCTCCCCCTAACTATGTCAGAAGAAAGATGTGTGCCAAAATCCCATGGGCTTAAGTGGATCCACACCCTGAGGCTAGTTTCACATAACACAGTGAATGTAGAGAATGTGTTTTGCAACCTGTACTACTAAAAACAGATGTATTTGGCATAGACTTGCCTGAAGAGATAAACATAGCATGTTATATTCAAAACAGAGGAAGAATGACTCTGAGCATTCCTCTGGACAAAGTCAGTCCCAAATCCCAGGGTACCAAAGAGCTTGCAATCCCCTGGCATAGGAATTAATCACTCTTCTGTGTTACTTATAAGAAAACACTTAGAAAGGGAACATTGAGTTTTGTCAACATTTACTTATAGAGTTCCTGCTGAATACTCAACTCTTTATTGGATGTACCAAAGAGCTTGCAATCCCCTGGCATATTAATTAATCACTGTTCTATGTTACTTATAAGAAAACCCTTAGAAAGGGAACATTGAGTTTTGTCAACATTTACTTATAGAGTTCCTGCTGAATACTCAACTCTTTATTGGATGTTGGGGAGGGGGGGGGGGTTTAAAGTAAAAGTATGCATATTGGTCTCTGAGCCAACCACTCTGGAAGTCTACAATGTCCGGTAGTATGGAGCGTAGTGCTCAATCTATGGGGACTCAGCAGTAACATATGCAGGTGTGAGGAAACCTTCTTAAGGAGAGTGACATGTAGTAAGGGTCTTGAAGCATGCATAGGACTTATACAGAAATAATATACGTGGAAAAGTCCTCCACCCCCAATTTCAGAGGCATGTGCCAGGAGGAAGCATGATCCCAGTCAGAGATGAGAAGAAATATGGTTGTGTGTGTGTGTGTGTGTGTGTGTGTGTGTGTGTGTGTGATGGGCATAAAGGTACCACACATCCTGCAGACAGGGCACATGTGAGAATTGGTGATATCAGTAAAGTGAAGCCGAGTTGAATGCCAGTGGCAAGCCACTTCAACCCCTTAAGAAGAGCACAACATAGTAGGTGGTTTAGGAAGAATAACTTCCAAAAGCATCTGAGGCCCCAGCTCCAGAAATGAATAGGATCCATTTTGACCCTTCTGCTTTCTGGATTGAACAGCGTGCCCTCCCTTTGGCTACCTGGACAGGTCACTACAAGGACAGGAAAGGGAAGGCTAAGTCGTCTTGGTCTCCCTTCCTCTCTCCCTGGAATAAGACAGAACCAGGCATGAGCTCGGGCAAAGAAACATCTCTGTAATGACAGCAGGCCTGGAGAGGTGGTGGAATGAAGCTCAGGGTCTAGAAATCACAATAAACCTATAGATGTTTAAAACAAATTGTGCAACCACCTCATGTTATCTG